TGTATTATATTTATTTTAAAAACTATTTTCCTGAACTTAAGATACTTTTTGATTTTCAAGGTAAATATTATCCTAAAACATGGAGTTTTCTCCAGTGCAACGGTTTAATTCAGTTTCTCGAGGAGGTGGGAAGGTTAAGTCTACAAAGGGGGCAGTACAAAATGGCTTACGGAATGGGAAATGAGCTTAACAAGGTGGAAAGTGAGGGCTACACGTGACCTGCTGTGCGGCAGATTAGTAATTAATTCATAAGTAGACAAAGTAAACAATTATTCGGATGACCGATACACAGTCATTCCACAGAGCAAAGGTTATCCTGCCCTTTTAGCGGATATTAATTGGCCAATTGAATTCATCATATTGTGGCAAGTGATTTGTCTAGCGACAAATCAATTTGTATTGAGGTAGATCATGTCGTATATCAAAACAGGTTTAATCCAAGGAATTACAGACAGTAATATCTTAATATTTAGCTAAATAGAGATAAATATGCTTGTTAGTATGTTTCCTTGTTAGTCTAGCCATTTAATGATTGATTTTTCTGAGATAATATTATTGATGAGCCAAAACTTTAACCGACAATTAACCAGAGGCCAGAAACCATATGAAGATATATGCAAATTGACCATAAAGATATAAATAAAATGTCTCGGAATTCACTGAACTTGATTTAAGTTTGATTCTACTTTTAGCCGGATTTGTTTTCGTGAATTTAAATTCTTTGAAAATTATTCAATAACTGGAAAGAGTATTAAATATAGGACTTGCTGAGATTAACAAAATATTTTGGTTATTCCAAGAACAGCAAAATTAGTTTTCATTAATTTTAATGATCTTTCCTGTTCCTTCAACTTAATACTTTGTTTATTTTAAGAACACTCAAATTAGTTTTCATTAATTCCAATTTTTAATAGCTTTTCTTGTTCCTTTCTGTCAGTTTTACATACGGCTTATATTCTGTATAATCTTTATCTCTGTTTCTGGTGGTGGGGATCCGAGTTCAAGGCGGTTCCGGTCGATTCCAGGCGCAGTTTCATTGTGCAGGCAGCTTATCATCTCCTCAAAGCCATATAACTTTAATAGCCGAAACCGTAGAACAACGAAACCAGGTCTGGGATCGAAACTCGGTCAGACAGATGAGGTGAGCCACTCTCTGTAAAACTGTGGCTTCACTGATCCACTGACTTCACAGATCCCCGAGCTGATCCGCTGAGAGGGTTCACTGAACTGCAGTCACCTACGGATTGGCATTGGGAGCAAGCGAGACAGCATGGCGCTCTAGCCGTGGGTGCAAAGAGCTCGGCGAGTATGTGGGTCAGGCCGACAATTACACTGAAAGTAGGCGGTCCACTTTTCCTCAAACCCGTTTACAGTCAACGACGGCAGATGCTGAGAAAGCTAAACAATCGTGCAGAACGGAAGAAACTTTCAGCTCTCTTTCGCTCTCTTTCTCCAGTTCGCCAAACTTTAGATTGCAAAAATAGCTGTACAGCGTTCTCTTACTATAAATCCTATTTAATTTTAATTTACTATAACCTCAATGAGGTAATGTTTTAATGTCTTATTTATACCATTGTGCAGAAAAAGATTAAAGAAAGTAGTTCGTTCGCTCATACTCTCTTTTCTTTTTTGCATCTCTAACTTTCAGATTGCAATTTTCTTTGTTATTGTAGATAACCGCAACCTCTCTTTCTCTGTTACATTAACAGCGGCTGGCCTAATTACAGTGAGAAAGCAGAGAGAGGAAGAAAAGCGGATACTTGTTTTTGCTCTCTCCTTCTCTCCCTCTCTAGCCACAGCGTTTCTCTGTCACATTCGCATGTACTTACACTCACTCCTTCTCCCTCTCGCTCAAATGCAATCTTTTACATTGCAACACAAAGAGAGCAAAAGATGAACTGCATGATCCACTGCTGTTGCTCTCTTCTTGTAACGGAAGAACAGAGGCTATAAAAGCGGCGCATGCGCTGCGCGTTTTCCCCAGTCGCGCAGCTGCACTCGCAAAGAACAGTTCGACCGGTTGATTAGTTCTGCCAAATAAAGGAAAACCGATTTGAAATCACTGCCAAAATGACGACAAGAACAACAACCACAACAACGCAGCGCAGCCTCTACATCACAAACGAGGTGAGTTCCTGCTTTGCCAAAAATAAGCCAAAAAACAAAAGCACAAACGGAATGCGCCGGCACGAAATAATTTGTGGAGTTGGCCGCGGGCACTTTTAATTCTGATTATGAATCTACTTCTGATTCTACTTGTGATTCTCAGTCTGATTCTGATGCTGACGAGTGGCACTCCGAAACTGGCTGCTAATTAGTGCTGCCTCATTAAAAGCGTTCCCAAACGAACGAAACTGTTGCTCGGACACTCGAGACCGCTCTTCAGGAAAGCCAAAAAGCCAGCAAGCCCGAAAGCCCGAAAGCCTAAGAGCCAGAAACGAGAACCGGGGCAAAAAGTCGGGAAAACAAATATGAATGCCAGGCTGACTGGCTCGTAATGGCAAAACAAAAGCCCCATTTACGCCAGGTCAGAGTTTCCGTTCAGGGCGAAATATCCAAATTAATAATCAATGAAAACAATTAGCGTGCGAAATGCTTCTGGGGGAAAATTCGTTGCCAGCACTTTTGCTTTTGCCTCTGCTGTCCGATAAAGGCTTACAGAACCCAGAGCTGAGAACTCAAGGGCAATATTGGATTTGAAATGATTAGAATAAATTAGTATTCATTTTCGCTGGCAAACAGCTGGCGGGCCAAAGCTTAAAGAAAGCAACAGTAAAACGCAAACAAAAAATATCCAGATTTTCGAGCTGCCCCGCGGACTAAAACACAACAAGAAAAGAAGAAACGACGATAACAGAGGCAGAAACAAAATCAAATGCAAATTATAAAGAAATAATAATAATAATGTGGCTAATTATGAGTGAAATTTCAGGAAATCAAATAAAAAGATGAAGAAGAACAAAACGAAAAAACCGGTCATCGGCAGTGGAGTGGAAAACAGACTTGAAAGCCTTAAAGTGCTCAGAACCAACCAATTACTCAAGGGCAGACTTTTTGTTTTAATAAGTGTTTCCATTTGAAAATAGCAATAAAATGCAAATTGCTTATCATATTAATTGAAGCAGATGGAAAACCTTAAAGTTCCTTACGTTCCAACGTTTGGTGGCCAATCGAGAAACGCTTCAAATTTCATTACGCTTTAAATAGAATTAACCTGGGGCAGGTGAGCGAACTGCTGCGGTTACCTCATTAGCAAAGTTAAATGAGATTGTGTAATGCCCTCGCCCACTAATATGCAACCGAAACTATAATTAAGCTTGAGCGACGCAAGAAGACGCCAATTGCCCGCCACGCCCCCAATCGTGGGCTTGCAGCCCAGTTTGTTGGCAAAGTAATTAACGTTTATTGGCTGCGGACAAACAAGAAGTTCGTGGGCTGCCGCCAGAAGTACTCGTACACTCTGCTTATTTTCCTAAATTCAATCTTCTTTTCGGAAGAAAACATATATGTGGGTCCTGCCATTTGGCCATGCCCCCACAAAATGGGCGCCTCTGTTTGCTTGCCGCGCGCGTTTAGACTTTTGTTTGCTCGCCCAATATTTGCCCGTAAATTTTGAGCAAGAATAACAAAAAGATCTTTGCGCGCCCAAGTCAACACAGATTGTCGGTGGCCCATAGATATGTGTTTGCCCATACTATCGATGGCAACAATTATCAGACATCGAGGCGTATGCGTGATATGTCGAGAAGCAGTGTCACGCATACGCCTCGTATGCAAACGGAAACAGCTTGGCCCGCAAATGTTTTTTTTTTGGCCAAGTCTGCAGAGCTGCACACAAACGGCCGTCCGGCTGAACGTAATTCAACTTGTCCAGCTGCAAACAGATTCAATTTGCATTGCGAAATGCAAATGCATTGGCCAGAATAAAATCCCATATTCAGGTCTAGCTTCGGCCAGCTTCCTCTGCCGGCCCTCTCGTCTTGGCTCCCTTGTACTTTGCAGCATTCGTTCGGTTTTTGTCATGCAAATGGAGTCTCACATTTTCACGCACAATTCACTTACTGAGAGGGTGTATTGTTTGATTGGTGGCCTTTCCTATAAATCACAAAAAGTACTCAGCACAAGTCCTGGCCCTGTAATTTATATTTGGAAATAGTTCTTATGTTCTTTTAATTGAACTTTGGCTACAATGGCCAAAGCTCTTCAGTTTGTCCAACTGCTACGTATATTTGCATTGTAAATGGTCACAAAAATGTGATAATTGTATGGAATATCTTTGCAATTTTCAATAAATTTTCCCCACACTCGCCCTAAATAGTTGTGGAAAATCCCTTAGAATAAATTTGTAAGCACTTAAAGAGTAGACTTGGAACAAATACCATTTGATATAAACATGATTATGCCAAAGGAATATTTTATTTTGCCAAAACAGAAACTGCATTTATATTTTTCAAGTCCAGCGAACAACGAAACCCTTGTTAATATCTTGTTGGCAGCGATTTTTAAAGTTTTGTTTTTCAAGCTCAAAGACAACAGAATCTTTTTGGCCAACTAGGGTCAGGGCCGAGATTTATTTAATTATTTGTTTAATTAAGCATGTGGCAGCGTGCGGCTGCATTTGTGTCAGGGCTGCCGCAGAATCCCCGGCGACAAGCGGCGCTTTAAAATGTTCGCTTAAATGCTTTTCGAGTAACAATTAGACAACAGCAATTGCAGGGTTAACTGCTGCCCCGCCCCTCCGCCACTGGCCAAAGTCATGGAGTGTCATGGCCCGGTGGACTTGGCCTGACCTGCTCTGCACTTGCTTTTTATGCTTCCATTTTTGATTGCGAAGCCAGACGGCGCAGCAAACTCAGAGCCAGACAGCCATTGATGGATAAATTTGGATATATTTTCGTAACTAAATGCGGGCTCACAGTCCGTTGGATGTTGTGAACCTTTCGCCTTGGACGGACTGCTTTCGAAATACTTGGGGCGGGAAAATTCACTCACTGCCAAGTGGAAAAACTCGATGCATCCAGCTGAAAACTGGTTGACTGGCCTTGGTCTAATCCACATTTCAGAACCTCCAGCCAGCCAGCCAGCCGGCCAAACAGAGAGCAACAGGCAGCAGATTCTGTCTCGGATCTCAGCTTCCAAGTTTCCAAACTTGATACTCGATTGTTTGGCCTACGTTTCAGCCATGGCTGCTGGCCAGAACGAATATCTCGGAGCTGCATTTGTGCAACTTGACTTTGCAGTCACAACGTTTTGGACCGCCGCACACCAAACAAGTGCCGTTCAAGTGCGGACTCCCAAGATCAATGTGTCGGCGTCATGAGTTTCAACAATGATGTAGGATAACATCTTCAGTGGCCGCATCTTCTTTAACATTTTTCCATTTTCTCTTTCAGATAATCATCACCGCCATGGACCGATTCGTCTGGTTTGTCCTCCTGGTGGTCATGTCCCACCTGGTCACCGAGTTCACCCGCGTCTCCGGATACGCGCGCGGCCAGCGTCACGAGCTGGTGCTGCTGAACGATGTGAGTATCTATAGTAAACCTGCTCCGGGGGTCATTAAAATGTTTGCTCACTGGCATGCAGAGAAATCTATGACAAATGAGTAGTTTTTCATGTCAAAGATGCTAAAGTATTTTTCATTGCTTAATAAATATTTTATAAATTTAAATCTGACAACAATTTTCCATTAGTTTACATAAACTAAGCTTCCATAAATATTTTTATTCAAATCTCAGCAAGTTTCTTTAAGTGCACATAAAACTGATAGTATTTAGCTCATTCTTGATTACTCACTGACCTTTTTTTTTTTTACAAGTAATTAACATTTTGGTGACCTTTTCAGACTCTGCTGCAGCCGATGCCCGTCCAGAACATGGTGCTGTACCCCGGCCAGGACTACGGCCAGTACCAGCAGCATCCCTCCCCTTCCTCCTCCTCATCAGCATCTTCTGCCTCCGCGGGAACCATGAGCAGCCTGCAGCAGAATGCGGCCATGCTGCTGAGCAGCTGGGCAGCGGGAGTGAGTACGGGAAATGGAGCATCTGGAGCTGGAACAGCGGTACCCGGGAGCAATGCGGCCATTCTGTCCCTCGGCGATAGCCAACCTGCCCATACGGCTGAGAGCACCTACCCTATGTTCAGCCTGCGACCCCTGATAGATAGCATATTCGAGGTGGGTTCACGCCATTTGGCCAGTGGCAGCAGTGAGGGCCATGTTTTACAATCGTTCATCCGATTCATCCGCAGATTCCGATTTCGACGCTACGCGCTGTCAACAATTTAGTGGGTCGACTGACCGGAGGATATCGCCAGGCCCCGACGGAGCTCTCGCAAAAATCCGTGGCAGCGGGAACGGCCCTGCCATCCGGCAGATCAAGTCCGACTATAAATGTCCATCCCAGTGGCCAACAGATGCGCGAGGAGATGGCGTAATTCGGGCCCCCTTTTAGTCAGTAGTTGAGCGTGAATGTTGTAATTTCTGTCAGTGTATGTTGAGAGTGTGTTCTTCGTGTGCATTTTGACCTTTGTGATATATGTGACCTTGCTGTAAGCCTAGTTTAAGGATATTTATGTCCATCTAAAAGAAGACCCCAAAAGAAACTAAGATTTTAGAATAAATGTAATTCCTATAAAAAATTATACTTACTTGTGGCTTTGAGTTTGAGTTTTGGCATTTATTAAACAGAAACCAATCAAGAAATGATTTTCTCATATACAGAGCTACCACAAATAGTTCAGAAATTAAATGAAAAGTGGCCAATAATAGCTTACATAACAGCTAAAAGAAAAGGTTGAAATGGAACAACATGAAATCCATTAGTTAATATTTATTCGAACAGTTTAGCTGCTGATAGAGCTATCAACCTTTTTTTCAGTATAAAGCTCAATATTAATTTCCCATTTTTTATCGATTGGAATCGAACAAACAATGAAAACTGACAGACTTCATTGCAAATATGTTTAACATTTGCATTTTTTATAATTGCTGTTGCTCAGCGAAATAAATTGGACAAATACTAGGCCTTATCCACCTTTAATGGCTTACCCTTCGCCCCTTCAGATGTCACTGTATGTGTACATGAGATGGTTTTTTATATGAGACAACAGTAAATTGTTTACAAACTTAACATGAATTTTGTATATTTGTGCAGCCCAAAAGCGCACAATAAAATATTTACATTGCCCAGTTCTTGTTTGGCTTATTGTAGTGAAAAAACGTTGCATACTCTTAGGGTAGACAACAATATGTTTAATCTCTTGATATGAGTTTGTATTTATGTCGGTGGCAATATGAGTTATTTCATAGCTGCAAGCACTGGCTGTTCAATGGAACTAATTAAAAATGTATTTTTTACATTTCGGGGATTTGCGTAAATATTATCACCCGTTTGACGAGTCAATAAACGCGTATCAGCGCATTGACAAAAAATTCGCTTCCTCATTGATACGGTTATCAACAGAGAGTAATGGCCACTTCCTGGGAGTCAAACAGTGCACTTCTTTACCGAGAAGCTAAATTAATTGATTTATATTTTAATGAGATTTCCATTTAGCAAAAAAAAGTTAACCAGCGTAATTAAAGTGGACAAAAAACGGCTGATGGAAAAGAACATCAAGTGAGTTTTTCAACGAGAAAATGCCCAACCATCTGTCCGCAATTTCGCAAGGTAATCATGCGTGATGTAAGGGACCAGAGCAAACCCAATCGCCAATGAATTCAATTTAATTATATTTTCTTTTTGGACCCTTTCCGTTGGCATTTGATTTCGGCCATCGCATTCTAAATTATCCAGCACGTGCGCTGCGGATTTGGCCAGAATTGGGACCAAGAGGCAGAGGCAGGGGCACATTAACGCAGGCGGCTCTGTTTGTCATTTGAATACCTAATGAATAAATCGCTGGGACAAAAGAAGAGAGTTGGATTGGTAATGGGAATGGGAATGGATGGGTGGAAGAGTCCAAAATCAACGAGGCGAACTGGAGAAACCCCAGAGGAGAAATACATCTATAATGGAAACTTTAGAAACGGAAAAAAGAAGACAACACCAGCATTCGATACCTATTAATTTGTCTGGCTGCATTTGGCAACAGCAATTTGCCTGCAGCTCCGTTGAAGCGTGAATGAAAATAAAACCAAAACCGAATTTATGGCCAAATTCAGTCAATTGCAAACCACTTTAAGGCCAACAAAAAGTGGCAGAGGAAGGGATGGGGCAATACAGAAACCGGTTTTGCCAATATTCGCCAAATCGGATGCACTTTAATGGGGGCCTATGAGTAAACTGTGTGTGGTTGTAGTACTATTGTTTGCTTCTGTAATTCTCTGTTGGGCATGGAAAAACTGAGATTAGTATATATTTTATTATCTCTGGGGGTTAATCGATTGTTCATGCCTTTGAACTTTAGTTTATGTTATATAAGTATTGGTATTGATTAGTCGAAGAATTTCATAATCATTTCGGTTCACTTACATGCATGTGAGCATAAGTTTCTGTTTCTATTTGCGCAATACTAAGTGTTAATTTAATTATAATTCTCTTAAATAATAAATAAATATATAAATCTGGCATTACTTGCACTTTTTGGAAATCAGCTTTCTAATTTATGCACTTTGAACAGAAATGTTTCAACGTGTTTGATACAAAAGAAGTCAAGTCTTAAACAGATTGAATTTGAGGCATTCTAAAGAAGATTTATTCTAAAATACAACAAAAATTCTGTTTATTTTTTTCTCTTTAAAGTGAATCTCAGAACAGACCACAGAAACAGAACCTGTCCGTCATGCTGAGATGTTACCAAATTCTCACCGAGCTGTTAGGACATGTGCCAGCCAAGTGCTAATAGGTCGCCGAAACAAAGTATTTGTTCAGCAGTATAGTATATTCCCAAAAATCTTGCATCATCAGTGCAGCGTCCAGCGTTCCCTAAACATCGTCTCGCAAGATAATTCTATATAATATGTAAACAGAAAGAGGAAGCAGCCAGAACCAAGTACTGCTCCTATATAAATAGATGCCTGCATACTTAATTGCGACACAATTCCAGTTTCGCGGGGCATTACAAGCCGCAGACAGTAGGCAGTGGATTCCACTCCAGTCCCCTCGACAGAATTCAAGTTTAAGCCCGGCTCTGGCCACTCGACCACTCAGTTCAAAGCGAAATCGCGACGCGACAACAACCGACCACCGGCAGTTCAGAGACTTCAGCCATAAAATAAAATTATAAAAACAATAACAAAACGGAAAGCATCTAGGACAGGTACACGAAAACAACAACGGACAGTCAGAGCTTTGTTAATTAATCAGAAAAGTTGAATTCGCATGTGAAAGGCCCGCAATTATGCTAAGGCCACTCCCCAGTATAAAAGTGCGAGGAAGAATTCTTCGAGACGCGACTGGCATACGAAACGAACCTGGAATTGATTCCCACTTTGGATTTGTTTTCTAGGTGCGCAGAATGTTCGTCTTACTTGGAGTACTCTGTCTGCTGCAGACGGCCAGCTTGGTGCCAGCCCAGGTGAGTCCTCCTTAGTCCGTATTCCGGTTCCCAAAAGTAATTAAAGCCGCCGCCGACTGACACCTGCCACCTCTGGCTGAAACGTATTGTTGGCCAGAAACTCGTCCATCGGCTGAGTGCGCGGTTCGAAATTATTTTAATTACTTGGCAGAAAGGCTGCTCTTTGGGTTTTCGCCGCATTACGTTTATTGGGTGACCAAACTCCTGAATAGATATCAAATTTCAGCTTAAAACACAGCTGACTCACTAAAGTTTCCATCAGTTGATGGACTTCTCGGTGCTAATAGATTGTGAATTCATTAACGTGATTAATAGATCAATCGATGAAATGCATTTCCTGTATCTTTTTTTAAAGTCAAATAAGCTTAAATATAGTTTTTATAAACAAAAAACTTGAAGGAAAGCGGAAATTTAACTTGATTTTTGATAATCATTAGTAGATTAAACTCAGTTCAGCGCATCCTCCGCCTCAAATTTCCGGATTTAGCGCCATTAAATTCGTTAGATTTTCCCCGGGTAAACGATTCCCGACCCGTTGAGTGCTGTCCACCACACAATCGAAATCTGCATTAGAACCGCTGGCCATTACACTGATGGCAGTGCGGAAATCAATGCCATGGCCTGCCGATGATTTTATTTTGCGGTCCGTGGCCACAAATTAAGGGAAAAGGAAAGTGCAATATTCGGTTTTAGCATGAACTTTGGCCCGAACAAAAAGCGTTGCACAATGTCCGTGCGGTAATGAAGAATTTTTAGTGCCAAACTTAATTGCAGGCCAAGGGAAACGCTCGTTTGGTTTTCTTACCAGCCGGGATTACCGGCAATTACTTGGCTCACTCGACTCGACTCAACACCAACCCAGCTCGCTTATCATTAATCTTGGCTCACGAGGCGCGACCGACTATTATACTCGTACATCATTTTAATAACTGCTGCTAGCTTAGTGGCCGCCTTGAACTTTGGCAGCCTGGACTAACTAATGTCAATTTAATTGCATTTCTCACCACCGATTACTCATACGCCGTGTTGCACACAAGTTGCACGAAACAGTTAAAGTTTAGTGTCGCTGTTTTATGGTAATTGAAGGTTTCAAGCGGAAATATCATTAGGCAGATAGAAGAACGTATTAAGTTCCTTTTATTAAAGGTAAAACAAGTGTTAAATCGAAGTGATTTACGGCTATTGGCTTGCTGTGAAACCTTTAAGTTTATTAACATTAAACTTAATCTCAGTGTATCCCTTCTAACCAAGCCAAGTCAAATCTATTTAACAATTCACCTGGGAAACTATTTTGTATATCATAATTTTCCCTCTATGTGGTCAGGTGTTTCGAGTGGCTTTGCTTAAACGCTGCCACTTCTTGTTATTTTAGCTGAGCGAGCTAAGCAAGTGACAGCTGACCAAAGGAATTTCCTCACATCTTGCTGGAAAATGATTTTAGAGAGTAGAGTTCTTTCGCCCTCAGGCGGCTCCTTCTATTGTTGTCTTTCATGGAGATTTCTGTAGACGGAAAAGTTTATTTCGGTTTGCGGCTTGGGGGCAGCAAGAAATTAGATTTTAATCAACGCATGCATGAAATTTGCATTTGCCGGCTAAATGGAAAAACCCCAAATAAGTTTTTGTTTATTTCGAGCGCGGGTCGTGGGAATTGAAATAAACAGCGCACGTAAAAAAATCTGAGAAGGGTTTGCCGAGACCCGCCAGCCGCCAGCCGCCAGCTAGTAACCAAAGGTTACATTTCGTGGTAGCTATTCCTGGGAATTCATGCAAATTACTAGCCATTCACTCCGTTCCCTTTGCCAGGCTCAGCCAAGAAATCCTTTCAGTTTCTTCCCTATCTTTGTGGGTCATGACCCGAGCCTATGAATTTGGCCAACTTCGGGGGGGCAATCTTTAATCTTTTGGTGGGAGCACTTTACTGTCAACGTAAATTAGCCAAACACAATTGCCGTGCTTTACTGGCAACGCAGAAAAGCCATATCGCGATTTTTATCAGCGAAATTGATGTTCTGCAAATATGGAAAACGAAACACGAAAACATTCACTACCTGCAGTTTGTGGACATTTAAATTATTCCTGGCAAATATTGGACAAAGCGAGCAAAAGTTTTGCACAAATGAATTTGCTCGATTATAGTTGAATTCCGTTGTTTACAAAGCAGTAAAATAATTCAATTATTTAGTTAATTTACCCATCTAGTTTGAAGTGAAACACAAAAACTTATTGTTATTTTGCAGCTGAAAAAGAGGGAAATCCTTTTGAAGTAAACTTTTTAATATCCCCTAACATGTTGGCTACTCCATGTTTTTGTTTTTAATAAAGTTGCTTTGCAACTACGTTCCTAGGTTCGCTTTGCCTCTTAGAAGTGTTTTCAATCATTCGAAATTACCATAAGCCTGGAGATTGGGCTCATGCTTAGCATTATGGGATTTAAACCGCTTACCTTGCACTTGGCAGCTATGCAAAAGGAGCTTTTTCAGGATAAGCTCAACTGCAGTTGAGGGAAAACAGAGGAAAAAGGTGACAGCTCACAGGTTTTTATAGATATATTGCAGTTGCCTGCCTGATTTCCATGGCATTGCAAAAGCCCAACAGCCTTTAAACGACGTCCAAACTTCAGAGCCACTTTACAGTTTTAATGTTTTTATATTTAGTAACAAAGTTTACAAAAGTAAAAAACATAAAATTGCACAATGATTAAAACTTATCGTTATTATTGCGACTTCATATTTACCCTAAGCCATTAACACAATATAAAAAGTTCGATTTCACTCAAGATAATGCTAAATATAGGTTATCGTGGGAAGGTCAGAGTCACTAGTGTTTACCTTTGTACTTGCAATTCCTGATATAAGCCAGCTTATATGTTGACATTGTCACATGCAATACTAATATACAGCTTAAGAAACAGATTAACTTATTAAATGGCATATAAAAAAATAGTTGATGTGATGAAAAATAGGTAATAAGTTGAGATAGAAACAAGTTTACCATTAAAATTGTTAAAAAATTCAAATTAGATCATAAATTCCTCTTTTTCGCTCTGCACTTTGCTTGTACAGCTGAAAGTTTTAAGCTCTAGACTGATTAATATTTACAACGCAGTAGAGTACTCCCTCTCCTTAGCTATTAGTGACATCTCATAGGTCTACCCCATAGATGGACAACTCGAGATAAGCTGGCTCCTGTGTTTCCATGGAGGAACGAATGACCACAAACTGCTGGCCAATGCCGCCGGCTGTGAGAACGGCCTCCGCTCCACCGTAGCCCAAATCCTCGACATGTATACCCGTAATCCGGTAGTTATCGCTGGCATTCTGCCGAAGATTCCCAAGGAGATTAAGCAATTTGCTCGCCAAGAGCCTGATATAAATCTCACCTGCGAGCCGTAGGCGAAATCTATTTGCGGGGTCTCCGGCGTTAGGTAAACATCTTCGGTGTGCAGCACACTGGCGTATTTGCCAACATGTCCCCAGGTGACCGAGGCGGCATTGCCGAGCAACACCTGGCCGGGTATCAGGAGGCACCACAGCAGCCACATCGGAAACATCCAAAACTTCACTGGCAACCGCTGGCGGCTCTTCAATTCCCACTCCCTCGCACTTGTCAACATGACAACATGTGTCCGCCCCTCGATTTTCCTTTCCTTTCCCCTGACTTTCAATTCGGACTGGGCTTCTGGTTCTGCTTTTCCACCTTTCTACCACCTCCACCTCCAGCACTTCTTTCTCCTCCTCTAGTCGGCGTGTGAAACTCAAATGAGCTGCCGTCAGGAGGCCAAGTTAAATATTATCGTTGTGTCTGCCTGGAAAAACTGTTATCAGCGACAGGTGTGGTAGGCTCTCTCGTTCGCTCTCTTTTGGCCAGGGCCATTTGCTTTATTGTCACACATCTGCTACCCTAATTGATGGAGGGGTATATAGGGTTAGGGTTAGAGTACTCATCACACTTTTTATCTCACAGAATTTTAGATAAGAGATAAGAGGTTATAAGTTCAACATAATGCTATATAAGTCTGATAAAAAAAAGTATCTGTAAGATATTATCTTAGCCATTTATAGTTCCACGTAATGAGATAGTTTATACACCTCATTCGCTTGTTTGGGTTTGTTTTGCTAGCTGTTAACTATGACAATTATTGATAACTTACTTAGGGCTCGCTCGCTGCTCTCATTACCAGTCACTACCGCCACTATCTACATAACAGCACTCTCCGAGCACTCTTTTTGATATCTTGGAATCGTGGTTCTGTAGCTCAGTGTTATGCCAGCTTATCTATAGTGTCTTACAGTCTAATTTGTTTTTCGTCTTGGCTGACGACCAAACGAACTGTGCAAATATTTATTAGAATTTCTGAACTGACGGAATATCTGCGCTACGAAACTTTCAACCTTCACCGATTTCAGGCGTTTTGAGCCGTTGAGAAATTCCGCTTAAATTGATTAACACACAACAACACACACACACACACACAAAATGTGTACAAACTTATTTAAGCGGGCAAAAAGGGTGTTTGCCTGCTTTCTCCAGGCCGAGCCAGGCCAAAGTTGGGCCACAACTTTAGAACTATTAGTGAAAAAAGCGGACCAAACATCTTGGGCCGAAAAGTTTCCAGGCGAAATCTTAAGGCCGTGGCTAACTTTGAATAGCATTATGTATACGCAACGTGCCCAGAACTTTGTGCTAAAACTCTCACATTTTCACATTCCCATTCCCGTCGGCGCCCCCGCAGTTGATTACGCTACGCGATGGCACGGTGGGCGTGAATTTTGCAGGCTACCACGCGAATGCGGGACTAGGTGGTCTCCTGACGGGCAACTCTGCCCACGGCGGACTCAGCGCCTCGGCCGGAACTCCGTGGGGTGCCCGAGCAGCCGCCGGCTTGGGTGGAAACCTGAATGGTAAGTGCCGGCGGTCCCTTCGCCTAATTGATTCGATTTTAACACTGGGTAACCCTCTCCTTTTCCCGCAGGACAAGCCGCTGGCGTGGGTTATGCCGCCGCCCAGGCAAACCCTTCGGTGGGTGCCAGTGCCCTCTTGGGCGGCAGCGCCGGACAGCATGGATATGTCGGAGCTGAGGCTCACAGACCTCGCCATACTTTGATTTCTTCCGCTGAGCACACAGTCCAGCCGGGCAGTCCTGAAACTCCCGTTCCCGCCTCCCCCACTTCTGGTCCCGAAGTCACCAGCTACATCCAGAAGGTCAAGCCCCCCAAGAAGTACTCGCTGATCAAAGGAGAGGTAAGATATGGTTGAGGGTTAAAGGAATTTAGTGATAAATTCCATTCGCAACGGGCTCAAAATGAAACATTCATTATAAGTCATTTCTGGTTTTCCATAAATTCCATAAAGAAATGTATGTTTTCAGCTTTTAAAACAGATAGAAAAATGGGTTAAAATCCGTTATTTGGAATATTGCAATTTCCTCTTGAGCCAGTTTGTGCTATAATTTAAATCGACTCAAAAAGCTGGGCAATATAGAGTTGCATAGGATATTTATACTAAGAGTATTTGCCCCAAAAGTTTAAAGAATTACTTAAGGTTGTTTAGGTTTCCGAATATATTTAAAGTTACCTCAATACTAGCAAACTTTCGTGGTAAAATTTAAAGGGAAAACTACGCCTAAAATAGCTTTTCAATTGCGCAATTCGTGGCAATAAATCGGCGACTAGTATTTAACTAGGATGTGCGGTTAAATATTGATCAATGCCCTCGTGTCGGCGAACCAACAACAAGCAATCAATCCAATCCAATCGAATCCACCCGCCATTGATGTTTTAGCCGGACCGCAGCGAAATCATTGAAAATCATGTTAAAGCGGCCGCAGATGCCGATGCGGTGGATAAACACTCGCCCCCGGCTCTCCCAGCTCTCCCAGCATTCCCAGCCTTTCCAGCCGCCCCGCCTAGCTCGTTGGTAATTGTCAAGCGAACACGCCCACATGCAAAGCGCCAACGTCAGCGTCAACGTGTCGTATACGTGATGCAGCAAGAGCAGCAGCACATTCCGGACCAGGAAGCCCAAAAGGACGAGCCGCAGTCGTCCGTTGAGGTAACAGTAACTGCGGTGCGGACATGGATACACAGATACAGATACACCAGCACACACACACATATACAAATACTGGCTTACTCACACGCACACACACTGGCACACAGTTAAACGCAAACAAATTGTTGGCTTTTTGGTGGAGCTGGATACCAAACTTTCGCTTTGAGGCTGTAATTTTATTTGAAAACATTTGCGGACAATGTGGGCGGTGAAAGGAGGAGGAAGGTGGGCGGAAAAGATGTGGGGTCAGCTGGTGCTACCGTAGCCTTATTATTTCTGTGAAATATATTTTAATACAATTTTAATTTGTCTTCCCCAAAACACTCTTTTTACTCATCTCTGCATGTGGTGCTTTCTCGTCCTGTGAAAGTAATTTTCCTAACTTATGAATATCTTACCATCCACAGACTAAGAGCGAGGCAAAGGTGGTCCAAGCCCACAAGTACAAGGCTGTCCAGCGACCTCAGACCGTTAACAATCGCTTCGTGGCACCTCAAGCCCAAGGACCAGTGGGTCTGGCCCTCGATGTAAGTTGGAACTTTTGAAGAATATAATATATAGTGTATTTATGGCCTCCTTTTTGCAGATTCCCATTGGGATTCTCCGTTCTCTGCAGCAATCTTTAAGCGCTCTGACCGGCGGAGCACCTCACCAACAGCCAGCCGTTGGAGTTGCAGGTGCCCAGGCCAACGCTCCCTAAATAGAGATGTAGTTTCGGTATTTGTAAGATCCCCCTTAAAGCCTTAAAGATAAAGTGGAAAATAATAAAGCGATTTAGCAGAAAGCTAAACTAATTTGAATGATCAAAGATAAGCAACGAAATGTGTCAGCTTTCCGATGACAAAAGCAGCTTGAAAGCTGACAAAGCAAATATGTTTTGAACACAGTAAATACTATTTAATGAAATGTTAAGTCACATGAAGAATGCCCATTAGGTGAGATTTTCCAAGCAATTTAACACTTTTGATTGACTTTCCTGCAACTTTATTGATGGACCAGAAAGCTGCTTTGAAGTTTCCCCCTTCGCTCTTTCAACTTAATTGATGTGTACTGTAACCTGAATTCCCTGAAATACTCTTGGCAAATTGGGTTTTCAGATAATTTCATGAACTAATTGAAAGTGGTATAAGCTGACACATGTTTATCTCTTTTACATCTTTTACCTCTAAAACGCCCTTGCAAATCAGGCTGTGTAAAACTTCGACTTATCGCCCAAGCAATGCACACAGTTTTCTGGAAAGTGTCGAGAAATAATTAAATGTTTGAGGCCAAAACGTGTTGTCTCTAATTTGCAACTATTTTTCCTGCTGGAGATCAACTAGAAAATCTGGCCGAGACAACTTCCGGCTTATCCGTCAATTATTTCGTTGGTCAAAGCACTCAGCTCCTGGCTTCCAAGTGTTTGCCCGGTGATTGCCTGCCAGTAAAATTCAACTCCTTTGCTGGTTGTTTGCTGTTGATTAAAAGGACCTCACGCCATTAAATCAAATGCCACAACACAATGCAGGGGAATGAATTGAAATGGCATCCGCATATGAGGACGAACCACATATTGCCGACAGGAACTGTGAAAATTCGCTGGAAATTCAAGTTGGATGCTCCGGAAAATGCCAAGGCACAGGGCCTGTTTATTTAGGAAATGTTTGTGTGTGTGTGTGTGTGTAAGAGATCCAGACCTCAGACAAGATATGGCACACACACACGAGCACACCAGCACAGACCATTAAGTGTGAGAGAACAAAATATTTCACACTCTGCAACCGCAGGCACTTGGGTGCCCCAAATTTAGATGGCTTGTATGGTGGAATGTGGGGGTCTCACACGTAAACGAATGCACGATACAAACTATAGAAGAACAACAACGACGACGTCGACGACATGCATTGTGTGAATGTGCTTAAATACTCGGGGGGCTTTTATGCTTTTAACCCCTCAAAAAGTCACGGCTTGCCGGCTGCCCACGAGGGTCAGTTTGTTTAGGTCCCAACTCACATCCTCACATCCTGCGGCCGTTATGTTGGCCGCTATTTAAATTTCTTAATTAGTGCTTGGCCGAGAATTTATTGCCCGTTAGTCGGTGTACTAAGCACTCAATGGGCTTCCTCTTTCAGCTTTTATAATTCCATCCTGATGGCCACATGCCTGAGCAACAGGCTCTTGCATTTTCCCCAGACGAGAGCAGGGGAATAGAGGACAAATTAAATGAAAACAGGTAGAAACTAGCTATTGTTGGATACTGTGCAAACATAAAACAGATTGTTTGACTAAAATCTGTATCTCATGATTAGAAGAAGTGGCTTAGTAGACTTTAACTTCTGTTCTTCAAAGCTGTTGAAGGCCCATAAGTACAGCATAACTCCTTTTAAAGATGCCTAAGAGTATGCAGCAATATATTTCCCTATGCACTTAAAGCGACCTTTAAACTGTTTTCCTGATTTCTTTTACACTTCTTTAAGTTAATCTTAATAACATCCCATTGAAATTTACTAATTTATTTAAATGTGTAATGTGAAAGCTCAGCTGCTAAGACCTGTACATCACTCACCTTTTATTAGAAACAAAATTTACAATTCTAATTTTTAGTTAAAAGCTACCAGCAGGAATAAATACATGTTAAAGAAGCTGAAGCTACACCTGGAAATATAATTTCCAATTAACAAGCTCGGAAATGAGATCACATACATCACTTTAATTAAAACTAATATCCGTGCAAATTTTTCCCCAACCAGAGACCGGATACCGTGCTCATAACTTAAATTTCTTTAAAAAACAAAAATGCCCCAAAGATATATGGGCCTATAATGTTATGCATGTAGACATAGTTTGGTTTTTATATGTGCTGCTGGCCCAAAATCAACAGGACGTTCAGTGTGCTTTTTGTTGCTCTTTTGCCGAGGAGCCTGAAGGAAAAGCGGAGGAAAACCAAGAGCTTGGGGTCAAAGGCGGCGCAACTCGAGCTCGATTTGAGGGTCGCGGTTGCCTCATTAAATTTAACGCACGTGCCGCACAAATTATGTTTACCCACACATACAGACCCACACTCACACACACTGTCCGAGTGCTACGTAGCTACGTTTAAACATTTCCTAATTTAGAGTTCGGTACAAAGAAAAACGTTAGTGGAGAATTGAAAAGGTTTCGGCTTTTATTTTGTCTACAATTTACGTGGGCCACAAGAACGAATGAATAGGTGGTAGGTTAAATCATTCAACAAATGTACTCACCCACATACACACACACACGAGCACCACCACATTTACAAGAAAAAGCCACACACTCTTGTGCTTATTAAGTTGCCTTCTTTAGAGAGCCCCAAGGTAGGCAACATAAAATTTCCGTAATTTACTCACGAGGACCGCACTTTAAATTGAGCTGTTGAACTTTAAGTTGCCAACGAATCGAATTTCCCACATTTATACACCGTTTTTTATTTTTCCACTCTGCTTAATTAGAGGAAACTAATTTCATCGCGTTTGTTAGTTGCCTGTTTTATGTAAGTAATTCGTTTTCCCTTAGATTCTTTAAGCGAAAAGTTATGGAAAAATTACTTTTCTTCAACTTTTTTTGTCAAATATTTTACTGTCTTTTGTAAATTTCAAAATAAGTTTAAGAGTCTTGGTAATTAAAATATTTATTTCCATATGTTAAATCGCAAACCAGGCTAAATGGGAAGCAGCCCCAGGAAAATCGTTGCCTCTGACAACGGTGCGTATGCTTTATATTCGACTTGAGCTGCGACTCCATCGCCAGGTAACTAACAGCGGCACTTATGAATATTCAGTTCCTCGGCTTGTGCAGATCGAGTGCAAACTGATAGAGCATAAATATTCATAAATTCTACAGGGCCTTGTGTGCGAGTTTCGAACCGAAAAAATAAAAATACAAATCCTGCCAAACTTTCGAGTCGCTGCTGTCGCTCTTCATTAAAGTTTTCTTGTACGTAATCGCAGGCGGGTAAAATGGCTGTCCACATTTGCACACAAACAGCCCACACACGTTCGTATTTGTATATACATTCACGTACATGGCATCCAAATATGCGCTGTCTGCATTATTAATGAGTAGTCGACTCCATTTAATTGAAGCAATGTGATTGCGGCCATTGCGACAGGTGGCAAAGTGGGCGGTTGCGGGGCCGTGCCCTGATCCGCACGGGGCTGAACACCTGCCGCGTCTGGGCATATGCAAATTCGGTATGCCACGTGCTCCGGGCAAAGGAATCCCGTTTTCCGGAACATGGCCTCCCGACACAGGTTTCTGTGGAAGTCGCCACAAGGCTACGAGTGTCAACAGTCAGTTCATGGAAGTGATATCCTTAACTCCGGCGGTTGAAGTATATGATTCCTTCACAAATTCATAAAATCATTAAAGTTTCAGTCAGATAAAAGGACTAAAAATGGATACGACACTTCTATATTTAAATAGCTTAAAAATCATTTTTTGAATTTTGCGAAAACATTCTACACTTGAATTCATTATTGATTTGAACTTCTTTTGTCGCCTTCAAGGGTATATCAATGTTCGTTACCCAACCTTTTTAGCACTTTAAATATTTTACGTTAAAGCATAAATAACCCAAACTAAAGGTTGTTCTGGGAACTCTTTATTTTCTCTGGCAACGCAATGAATAAAGGGTAAGGTATGGCCAAATATACGGCTCAATAAATCGTGTACCTAAACTGCGAATCGTAAACTTCCTGAAGCTTAAGTTAACGCTGTCAACAGGTCCTTCCTCCCCATTCAACAGCTTGCGGTAAGTGAAAGGGTATTATATGTACTACATTTTCCATTGGAATATAATTGTAAGGTTTTTCAAAAGCAACAGATTAACCGATAAACCGCAAACACAGACCACAAAATCTCTTTTTCGGCCCAAAAGGCGCGGATTTAAGTCTCGGCCAAATAATTTAAGACTGCTGCCAGCGAAACGATCAAATTGCAACAGTTTTGGACGCCGCCTTTGCAAAAAGAGTGAAAATAAAAATCCGGAGTTGAGTTACGCTGAAAAACGCGAGGAAATCGAAGGGCAAAAAATGTTTTCGCCCTGTAGCTACGTTGTGCAGTGCCTTTTGGTAATAAAATCATAAATCCCCGGACGAAAAAGGGGAAAGGAGTTGCCAAAAATACTGACTTCGGGTCAGGAAGCGGAAATTATATTGGCCTGTCTTGGGCTTAACCTTTGTCTTCTCCGCTTTTTGTTCCTGAATCCTCGAATGGCTATGAATGATTGCAGTTTAAACTCGCCCGAATTCAGTTTTACACTTTCTCCGAGTTCTCCTTTCAGACCCTTGGACAACGGGCAGCCGCACCTTTGCCGCTTTCAGCGCAGCCCATTTATGGTGCTCCTTTCGGCCGGGAAACATTTTTATAGCTGCAACAGCAGCATAATTAATTTCATTTTACGGCGGGACGAGTTGCGAAAATGCATAAAGTCAATTAACTGAAAAAACAGCCGGCGAGGAGAAGAGCCAGGAGGTAAGGAAGCCCATGGATCCGAGGAGCAGCGAGGCGAGCTGATGAGGTTGTAGTGACTTAACTGAGCATGCTGTAAGTAAATCAACGGGTCAAGTCCGTCTCGGGCATAAATTCTTTGTTCTTTGGCCAGAGTAGTCCATTATCCGAATGATAACTCGTAGTGCTGATTCTCTGAATCTTTCGAGCGGAGCTAATGAAGTCTCATTGAAATGAATTATTTCCTTAATAAATGGAAGTTTACTTCGGTAATCCACTTTGGTACGTTTTTAAAGAGGATTTATATTTATGAATTTATAATTACCATAAGGTTGAATTCAGATAAACAAAAACTTTGCGCCCGCATATTAAAAAAATTATTTTGAATTTACAACAATAATAAATATAATAATAATAATAACAAAGAATTTATATATTTCTTGATACCAGCATGTATTTAAGTTTGATGATGAGGCTCATTTCTCACTATATATTGATTACATTATATATTTAGTTCGATTCAAATCTAATAAAATTAAAAACTTTTTATTATTTGTTTTAATAAATTTTGAATATAAGCAAGAAAACCGTTACAAAAAAAGGCGTTGCCACTTTTTATAAAGCCAAACTTGTAATGGTCACTCTAACAGCTGATTTCTTAACAACAAAACAAACCAATTCGCTACCGGCTTTTCTTTTGCACTTATTTACCTATTTTTCGTGCTGAAACACAACGTCAAACGGAAAATAGCAACCAACTGACCTACAACACCCTTAAGCTTTTGCATGAAATGAGCTAGCACGCATCGCTAGAAGTAAAGCGGTAAACAAAGGAAAAGTGAGTAGGTGGTTCGGGGTGGAAAAGCGCAGGAAAACGCGGCAATGTTCAAACCGCTTCGGATTTTCCACTCCATTCGAGTGTTAGCCGAGCAGCAGAAAGGACACACGCCGCGCAACGCTAAAAAATCAAACCCCGAGACCCAAACAAACAATAAATCTCAGTACCATAGAAAAACTGCTGTTAACTTAAAGTTGTGTTTGCAATTTCAGCACCATGGAGGACTTCGCCAGCATAAAGTCCCACAGTTCGGTGGTCAAGTTGGCCTCCTGCCTGGAGAAGATCTATACGAAAGTGGTGGACAGCCGGGAGAAGCAGGTTCCTGAGCACCAGATCAAGGAAATTGAGTTCCTCAAGACGCAATGCAAGCACGACCACATGCAACTCAGCCTGATGAGCTGTCAGACGCTGGTGCGCCTTGTGGAGGAAGGCGTCATAGAGGCCAACGGGGTGCAGAATAGCTTGCTCTCTATGCTGGCGAATGCGGGGTGAGGATAACTACACGGCTATCTGGCCAGAGAGCCCGCCCACGACCCACATATGTAGCTCAATTCCGCAGAGGCGCACCTTTGAACTTCCGGAGGGCAGCAGTAGGCGTGAGGCGGAGCAGCAGGGAAACTATCGTGCAGGACTATCAGCCTAAGTGGAGCGCAGCGATTCCAATTGCGAAATTGCGCAAAGGTGCATAAATTACCGAATCGGACTCAAACTTAGCGGATTCCCAAGTGCAGCCAGTTAATTAACGCGCCATTTAACGCTTGCCACCAAGTGCTCCCAACATTGTTGACCCTCCTTCCGTTCGTCGACACACGCAATCCCTCGCATTTCCGCTGGACGCGTGCCCCAAATTAATTGCCCAGCACTTGGCACGTCATGTAACAAATGCGCAAATGAATTATGACTCGAAGTTAATCCAAAACCACAGTTGTTTGGCATTGACTCGGTTTCCGCTTGGCCGCAATCCACAGTCGTCAATCTTGTGGATCAACGGCGATTATGCCTGGAGCGCCGTAAAAACTATTAGCCATTTCCCGCCACGCAACGCTACACCCACATATCATATCCTGCAGCCTTGGTTTGCAAATATTTGATATATGCAAAGCAACTGAAAAGTCTGGCATTGAACTTGAAATGTTTGCGGAGAGTCGAAGGACGAACAAGCGGTCATGTAATGCCGGAACTAACCTTGATAAGGCACCCAAGTCGAGCTGCAAGTGCAGGCAAAAAGGATTGCATATTAATTGGCCTGCAATTAGAGGCCAAACCTAGTCGTCCGGCGGCCAGAGCGTGAATTGTAATTACCTCGTCAAACGCAAAGCGATTTACCACCGCCACCTCCACATCAAAAAGACCTCCAAGCCTTGATTGCTTATTTGCAGCTGCAACTCCGGAAGTGTCCGCTAAACGGCTGTTTCAGTCGTTCCACTTCGATTGTATACGTCTTGAAAATGTCACTCATAGCTAACGATTATTAACCATTTATCCTGATCTCTATAAATTATAGTCTTCATTTTCTGCATAAATCCTGAAACTAAGATATCCTTTTTCCTTTTAGTCCTATGCATTTTGCCATCATCACAGAGAGCATTCTGGGCTTACAACTCCTAAACTTGAAACGAAAGACATCGACACTCAAGAATCAGGAGTCTTACCAGTGTTCTTATGGGCTGAAAACACAGCAGCATCCACTGATCTCACTGCTTCAGCATTCAAGTGCCAACATGCATGATGTGGCAAACAAGATAATTGGCATCTGTCAGCACCACGATAAAGGGTGAGTTAACCCAGTTGAATGAAACTTTTACAACGTATCCTAACTATATATCCTCTCAGCATACGGGACTTCAGCATAGAGTTCTTAAGACCAGTGTTCCTTTACATACTCTGCAATCCCCAAACTCTGCACGATGTGAAGCCAATTTGGACTTGTCTACTTAATCTTAGTGGTAGTCAACCGGAGGCGCGTGCTTTGATGCAAGAACTGCTTGCATGGAGCAAGTTCAACAACGCCAGCACTTGCCTGTCTACCAGCATCCTGGTCATTGAAGCCATTGATCATTTTCTGCAGCGAGAGGATCACGCACAGTCTATTGACTTGGGAATCTATCAAGCCTGTCTTATTAAACAGCTTGCCAATTACGGAATCGATCCGCGTCCTAGTCTGCAGTGCTTGCTCCGAGTGCTCCATGCCACGCGGGAACACACAAAGGATCACTACCACGTACTCTTAGTGCTTCTTGCTGAAGTTTTGCACGTGCTGTCTCCCTTTTATCTGGCTGATCTGCTGCGCATTATCGTTTTCGTGGTGGTACAGGAGCGCTGTGGCCATGAATACATTCTGAACATGTGTCTGGACGGAATTATTCAGTGGATGTCTCAGACTGCATTCATACCCGCAGAAGGCTTGGCTTTGGCTGACCAGGTAGTGCAAAAAGTACTGGATACTAAGAAAACGGATCAGGATGCTGAGATTATCTCCACCAAGCTATTAAAGCCCGCTCATATGCGAAACTATCACCCGGACATAGCGATCGCCTTCGACTTGGCCACTTTAGTAGAATCTTTCGACGCCTCCGATAACCAGGATGTGTTTGCTTTTGTGGACGCCCTAAATGTCAAGGCCAATACGGCATTTTGCCAGCGCCTGCACCTTTTTTTGCGTGCGCTATTCTTATCGAAAAAACCACCTGTAGATTGCTGGTTTAAAATCTACGAAGTGATCTTGCAAATCATTAAAGTGAACGAAGGTATTGCCTATGATTTCCTAATGACATACATCTTTAAGCTGGCCAACGAAAACAACCCGGAGTTGCAACTAGAACTGCTTAGAGGATTGGCCAGCTTTGCCGTGTCCAAGGTGAGCCCTATAAGTGGAACTTTTTAATAACCTACTTACTTTAAAATTTTCATAAGGACAATGTACCAATGATACTTAATACTATAAGGAGTCTTTCCTCCGAGAATGGAACATTTTGCGTAGACTTGTATTTGCGTCTGTGGCGAGTGGAGACGCGAACTTATCCCTTCCTGTTGAAGCAGATTGCCCAGCCACTGCCGGATAACGACAAACGCTGGGAGTTGCAGATAGCCCGCACTCATGCCATGCGGGAAATCTGTCAGGAAAAGTAACTTTGAAATGGTTTTTTACTCCATGAAGATTTCTCATTTCTAATCCTTATTGACAGACCCACTTTACATGGCTCGGAGTTGCTACCGCATCTTAGCAATACCCTCAACAATTCCTTCGATGAGGCTGGGGATCTGGCCACTTCCTTGGCACTTGATGCCATATACGCTTTGTGTGATAGTCACACCGTGAACATTGCATCCACTTGGCAGGCATTGGGCAGTAAATTCCGTAATGAGCAGCGTCCCCAGACGCTTAAATCGCTGTACAAGCTCTTTGGGTTGGTCCCACTACTGCAGACTCCAACACTGGAATATGAGAAGTTAGCGGATGATGCCCTGGAGCAATTGTGGCAGGCTATTAGCCGACCGGGCACGGATGCTGGTCAGGTGCGGAATGCCCTGGTTGCTCTCAAAAACTACGAGCCGGGAGTTACTTTAAACCTACGCCACATTCCAGCACAATTCCGCTTCGAAATCGTAGGAGGTGGAGTAGGAGTCCCCGGTGGCCGGGAAGTTTTGGATCTGCAGCAGGAGACAGTGCCCGGCGAGGTTTGGGTGCAGCTACTGCAGAAGATACGCCCGGAGTGCGGAGATGCTGCTGCGGATTTGATTTCCCATTACATAGGAAGCGAGATTGACAGTTTCCGCAGTGGAGTCTACCGCCTGCCCGAAGGCAAACCGGAGCCTCGAAAATTGGTTGGTTTGTTTGCCACCAGTCCTCTGCGAGCAGTCACAAATTATCTCGTGAGCCAAGCGCGCTTTGGAGATTATGTCCCTGAACCATATGCTGTGACCTTCGCGCTGCGGTCGCTGTCCAAAAAGTTTTCGAAACCCATCCCGCCTCTGGACTGGAGCTGCCTAACTAGCTTTTTTCATCTCTCTTTCGATGCACGTAAATATTGCATCATGATAGCAAAGAACCAGGCAGTTAACTCGGGAACTGCGAAGCGTCTGCTGGAAAACTTTCTTGTTGACTTTGAGCCCAACTGCTTTGAGGAGGATCTTCTGCTACTTTTCTCATTGCTGACGGAGATTGCGAACAGCGTGAGCCTGCAAATTCTGAAGAACTTTGCCGAAAAGGTTGCAGTATACTGCTTTAAGGAGTCGCAGCTTAATGACTTTGCAGAGGGTAAGTCTAATTTATCTTTACTAAAACAGATTTTTTATATATTTTAAATTCTGCAGGATGCTTGTTTGAAAAGTTCTTGGAAAGCGTAAAGTACATATTTACTGAAAAATGCGACACACCTGAGGTATTGGATGTTTTCACGCTGATTGTGGAGCGATACATGGACTCGATGAATCTGGATTCAAGACTCTTCGAACGTTATACAGAAGTGGTGTCCACTCTGCATCCAAATGCCATAGATGGGCTTACGACGCCAGCCAATTGGTGGGAGACACCAGTGGGCAAGTTAAAAAAGGCAACTATCATTCGATGTTATTTGGTATTGTACAACGAGAAGCTACCAAATCCTCTGAAGTGGTTGACTCCCATCATCGATGCCTATGAGAAACGGGTGGAGGAGAGGACTTTCTTTTATCGCCACTTATCAGCCACACTGTATGCTTTTGGCAGCGATGAACACTCCTGCAACTGGATATCGGAAATGTTCCTGGAGATCCAAATGCTGCTGGCAGAGGCATCCAACAAGGAGAAGGTAAACAGGGCGCTGTACCTGCTGGACATCTTTATCCTAGCCGTGGATGTGCTCTCTGGCTGTGCTGTGCTGTTGGGCAGCGTAGATGTGGTGGCCACGGATGAAAAACAGCGACTGTCGCTATTCCCTGAGAGCTTGCAGTACTTGTGCGATCACATCTTTTGGAAGGATCAGGAGGCTAAGGTTTGAAAACATTGTATAGAACCCCTAAAAGCATTGATATTTACTCTTTCAGATCTACGAGTTCCTCTTCAATCTGTACAAGCACCCGTCCATGCCATATTCCTATGCCGATGTCTTCAGGGATGCTATTATTTGCTCCCGAAATAAGTCTTATTTTGATAACAAGGGGGTCTGGACCAAATACGTAGGACTACGTAAATAAACACGACGAACACTCACCGCATTTAAACCCTCTCTGCCCACGCCTGAAGTGCACTTGAATGGTTAAACCCAACCGCCTACCGTCAATGTTAGTCAATTTTTGATAGCAAACGCGTTCTTTGTTAAATGTATGTGTTTAAAGTTTAAAAATTAACGACATTAAAAGCATTTTTGCGCGCAACGTTTGAATTTGTCGAAGGCTGCCAGATGGGCGCGAAGTATGTCCACTGATATGCGTCGAAAGGCGATAACTTCGGGGGTGGTTACTATCGACTTGAACACACCCCTAGTTTTGACTATCGCTTTGGACGAACTATTATTATTCCGGAATAATTATAAAAAATGCAAATAAAATAAAGAACAAGAGTGCAATTCGGCCAAATTAACGTCGCTTACTTAAGTAAGCTTGATAACCGGTTAGAAAATAGAGAAGAGTGATTGGGAACGTGTAATTTGACGTGAGACAGAGGCAACAGGAAAACGCAATCAAAACGTAAACAATGGACGAAATAAAGCTCGCCAAGGTTAGTTATCAACTTAATCAATGCGATAGGGTTAAATGCAGTCAGGGTCTTTTCACGGCGACCACTGTGGAGCACCTGGATTGGATGCCGTGAAAGGGTTGTGAGTCACACAACTCGGGGGCTGGCCATTTGAAAATCGATGGGATGGGTTTTTCACCTATACCGTGGGAAAGGGACCGGCTACTCCACCCACAAGGCTCCCCTGCCTGGAGATCTCCTGATTTCAAGCTCATCATCAAAACCCTGAATTCCATCTATTAATATGGACCCAAAACATGCGCATAGAATGCCAAAGTGAATATGTTTTGACCCCGCTCTCTTTCCACTAAATTCAATCAAAATCCCACCCACACAGGCGCAATGTGAGAGCCAATTTTTTACCGTGAAGAAGATGTTCATCTAAATCTGCAAAATGTACCCCCAGCATCCGAAAGGGATGTTTGTGTAGACTTCTGCCCTTTGACTTGGCCTATTTAACTAGATTCGTGTTAAGGCCACCATTTTGTTTTTAAGTAATATTCCATGTATTATACATGTCCCTTATTTGTTGTCGATTCCCTTTTTTTTTGTTAGCTCTGATCCTATCAAGGATCAGGGATACGTCATTAGGTTTTAAATATTTATTTATACATTTAATCAACTTAGACGTAGTGAAAGATCTTACTTTTAAAATTGTAACCTAGCCAATATATTCGTTCTTTAAATTCCAATTTAAATTTTTAAAACCAAAATGAGAAATACCATCCAGATTTAAAGCCCTTAATTTTCTAAAGGTTATACTTGTTTTTAAAATATTTTCTTAAACATTAATTGCTAAAGTTACACAATGTTACTTATTACTGCAGTATTAATTTCATTGAACCCAACTCCTTGAAGGGTATTTAAATATAGCAAACTTTCTCGTTAAGAGAGAATTTCCCTCTGTCGAATTTCCCCAACAAAAAAACTTAGCCCGCTTTTAAGCGCGCGCATTTCTCGCAGTCATTTGAGTTCTGTTCCAACGCTCGTCGGGAGCACTTCGCGCTCTTCCATCGAAGCTACACATATATTCGTGTAGGGACTCCCACAGAAAGGGCCACCAATTTACAGTGTATATTTTGAGTTTCGCGTTCGTGTGGCAGGCGAAAAGTGAAAGTCTCAAGTTATTCCACCCACATCACCAACACAATTACATTTGATTGGCCTGCACACGTTTGGTGCTGATTCAAAATCAATAAACCATCCAATAATGGACTTCACCCGATTCATGAACAAGTTCAACGAGATAGAGCGCCAATTGTCCCCAACCTCCGCCCTTCGCCTTAGCTTCGATAATATTTCGCCGGAGACGGAGGAGCCACCGGACGGAAACAAGAGGCTGTGGGGCGTGCCCGTACCGCCCTTCGTCTCCGACAAAGTGGTCTCCTGGATCGAGGAGGAGTTTAACGAGGCCCCGGTCTTCTACAATGGCAACAGTGTGCTCAAGAAGGTAACCGCTCTCCCAACATCCTTATGCAAATCAAGTGGTGAAAATCCTACTAATTTTCCGTTATACGCTACTACTAGCCGGAAAATATGCAAATCACCATCGAGCGAACGGCCAATATGTTCGGGGACCCCAAAAGAGCTCCCTTCCCGAAAACCATTTCCTATTTGGGTCATGTATAGCAACGAGTCCTTGCTATCCTGACTGCATCCGGACGCCATGTGCGTCACCGCAATCACTCCCTTGGCCACCCACAAAGTCTGACAGATTGTTGCATTGTCAGCAGGACACTCGAGTCCGGAGCTCGGTCAATTAATGGGATGGCTTTTCCATCAAAGTCGCAGATGCAATTGCCACCGGGAGGCAAATTGTACTCGTAAATCAAGTATGCGCCACCGTAAACTGCTGGCTGGCAACTGCCAAGGCTCGAAGAATATGTTTAAAACCTTAAAACAGACTTTAAAATGTGTTAGGGGAATATTTTACAGCAGAACATCAGCAAGATTAAGCCAGTTTAGTTATGGCTACTGAAAACTATCACTTGGACTAACTAGGAGGTGAAATTTAAATAAAATTATACATGATTAGGTATTTAATTCTTTTTCGCAATCACATTAATGCTAATTTATTGAAACAATTCAGAGTCGTGAATGTCACTCGTTCATCAAGTATTCGCCACGTTGCCCACAAGCTAATAGCCATAATTAAGATTCTGCATATACAATTATAATAAATTGAGCTATATGTAGGTGAATGTTCTCACAGATTTTAATATTAAAGCATGTTAAATTTTAAGAAGAGTTTTAAAACAAAATTGTTGGGTTTTAAAAATGTATCTTAGAGACTCAAAAAGAAAGAGATTGCTTAAAAAAAATGTGGTTTATACAATTTCGCCTTTGTCTTATTGCAAATCTGAGCTTTAATATCAAAGCCGGTTTAATTTAATTGTATAATTGAATAGTCTGCCCGCTGGGCGAGAGTAATGAACTCCCACTGGCTAAATCAGACAATTAACTGACCTTATCTATCCTGACAATGAACCCGGCTCAAACAAAGGCCTCAATCTAAGTGACATGAAAGGAAATTAGTCCAATGATGAACGGCTCTCGGGACATGGAATATTGCAAGCCTCCTGGGCAATAAAAACTGCCGCAGGCAAAAGGAAAACCAGGAGGCGTCGGGATGAGTTTGGTGAACTAGGCCTAAAGGACCATCAAAGGAAATAATGGGCTGGCCGCTCCGATGGTTTTATTTAATGGCTGAATACCAACTAACCGCAAGAAGCGCTCTGTGCCCATATTTATTTGAGGCTTTAAAGTTAACATGTCCTGGGCTTTGATGAATGTTTGATTAAGTTTTTTGCGCAGCAGCCGGGGATTCGCTGAAAGTTGATTGAAAAACTTTCCTCCTCCTTTCGTGTCAATGCAGTTTATTTTTTTATCGTATGCAATATGTACGTACGAGTGGGTTTTCACCAAACTATATGGATTCCATTGACGTCAGAGGGGCACAGCTGAAGTAAAGCGGCTGAAATTTAAATCGAATTGTAACCATTTCTCTCTCTTATTTCTTGTTTGTGCAGGTGGAAAATGTGCGGATGATAGATCGCTACAATACCAAAAATCCCACGGTGGGCACCCTCTATCTGACGGCGACCCATCTGATTTTCGTGGAGCCCGACAGCAACAAGGAGACCTGGGTAAGTAGTTGCCCCTAATGACATCATCAATACTGTGCGAACCAACTAAAGAACTCATTGTGTGCTAAGAACTTTCTCAGTTAGAGTGGCAAATGTTTATTTGCGTGGCCCACAAAACGTTTCAGTGAGTCACCTTTGTGTCGGCAAACACAAGTCTCCTTCTGGCGAACGTGCTCAAATGGGTTTTTTTTCGGTTTAGCACCGACCTCGCAGCTGTCAAAAAGTTTAAAGCCCCTCCAAAGACGACCGAGTGATGTCTGAGGCCCGCTGCATTTCCTTTTCCGCCTTTACCGACTTTTCCACAAGAATTATTCCGAGGATGAGTGCGGAAAAGTTTTTTTTAACAAGTTCCCAGCATGTTTCTGCGCTTTAAGTTTCATGTTTACCAAGGAATTTAATTCGCCTTCTGCAATCTGGCGGCGCTTACAAAAGAATGTTGGCACAAGCGTGTTGCGTATACGCCCCATTGCACACACACAAATTGAATTCGTTCAGCTTTTGTGTACATTAATTGCGAGCATATTTCCTTGTTGCAGCTGGAAATCTCTTTAAATTCACTGTAGCAGGAGGGGAGGGTGAGTGTGTTTTGGAAAAGCTGTTGCAGCTTAGTGCCGTGCCTTGCGCTGGCCAATGCGATTATTTAGCTGCGAACGCGCAGCTTCTAAGCGAAATTGAAAGGATAATGTGACAATAACCGGCCTGAATAGTCGGAAAGCACGGGCTTAGCGCTAAATTCTAATGTAAAACCCTGACAAGCGCATATCCTTTGATAGACCGCCGTTTTCACTGCTCAAATCCCAGCACATGTAAGAGCCACTAAATGGGTTTAATTATTTCATCCGTGTAAGTTACCCACTGCGTATACGTAACGTGGTTTCTCGTCGGAAGCAGGCATGCATTGCATTTTAATTGCCTCGGCAAAATTGTATTAATTATGCACTCCCCGGAGCAAGTTGGCGAATCCGAGTGCCACAAGTGGCCCAGGAGCGTAGGTACCCCAATTCCGTATGAGTCGCACTTACGGGCGCCTCAGAAAGTGGTTAATTAAAAGTAAAACACTTAGGGGCAGAGTGAGTGGGGAGCAAAACCGAGAGATATCGATTTTCTGTGCCATTGAAAATTGGTTGCTAGTTCCTCATAATCCAGCTGCCTCTCTTTCTGCTCCGCGCCCCTGAGTTGTTATACTGCTTTTTTTACTACCCGCCACTGGGGCGCATCAATTATTTAGTGGCGAAAGCAGTTCTGGCGAAGCACGTAGTCGGGATGTCCAAAGGGGGGAGTCAGTAAAGTTCAGTCGGGGCTTTGCGAGAGTTGCATAAGAGCAGCCTTGGGCGAAGTCACGGTCATAAGCTGAATTCTTGAATGTTTCACTCACAACGGAACACAATAATAAGTAGCAATCATCTGAGTAGATGGAAAGTTTTTTCAAATTTCTCTAGTTTATTATTTAATTTGTTGAAACACACCCTCTACTATTATTCTTTTATAATTCAACCCATTCAGAAATACCTAATTAAATATCTTTTCAGATCCTGCACATGCACGTGGCCAGCATTGAGAAGCTGCCTTTAAGCACAACAGGATCACCGCTGCTTATCCGCTGCAAGACCTTCCTTTCGGTCACATTCGTCATCCCCAAGGACTCCGAATGCCACGATGTCTACACCTCGCTACTGAAGCTATTTCAGCCGGGTAAGAATTCACAAGCAAACTACAAATCTGGCTGGAAATTTATAATACTACAATAATTTCCCGTGGGCAGTATCCATAAACAAATTGTATTGCTTCAACTACCAACCGAACAAGGATGATTTCCCCAAGAATGCCGGCTGGGATTACTTCAAGCTGGAGGCCGAGTTCAAGCACATGCTGGTGCCCAACGAGGCCTGGACCTTGTGCTCGATGAACGAGAAATATGAGCTATGCGACACCTATCCCCGTCAGATTTACGTTCCCAAGGAAGCCACCACGCTGATGCTCATCAGCAGCTCCCGATTCCGATCAAAGGGTCGACTTCCAGCTCTAACCTATCTGCACAACAACAAGGTGAAACAAATTCATTAAGACATAGATTGACAAAATATTTATAATATAATGATATTCATTTTAGGCCTCCATCTGTCGCTGTAGTCAGCCTCTATCTGGATTTAGTGCCCGGTGTCTAGAGGATGAGCAAATGCTGGAAGCCATCCGAAAGACAAATTCAAACACGGATTACATGTATGTGGTGGACACACGGCCGCGGGTGAGTGACTAGTGAATCCCAAAGGGGGTAAGCATATGCAAATAATCCATTTACGCTGTCTGCAGATTAATGCGATGGCCAATAGAGCCGCCGGCAAGGGATACGAGAACGAGGCCTTCTACGAGAACATCAAATTCCACTTCCTCGGCATCGAGAATATCCACGTGCAACGCGCCAGTCTGCAAAAAGTGCTAGAGGCTTGCGAACAGAAGTCGCCCACGATGAGCGCCTTCCTAAGTGCCCTGGAGTCATCTGGCTGGCTGAAGCACATCCGCTCCATATTGGACACGTCGAGGTGAGAAAAGAGCCAGGCAAATATGTAAATACAGGAAAATGGATTGCTGTGCCTTAGGATCTTAGCTATTAACCATGTTTTAGTTCATGCATGTGATGGGTCTTGTTCTTTTCTGATTTTGAAGCTTCATCGCCAATGCTGTTGATAAAGGTGTTTCGGTGGTGGTCCACTGCTCTGACGGCTGGGACCGAACTGCCCAGGTCTGTTCACTGGCCCAGCTCATGCTGAACCCCTACTACCGGACTATTAAGGGCTTCCAGGCGCTGATCGAGAAGGATTGGCTGGCTTTTGGGCACAAGTTCAGCGAACGTTGCGGTCATATCCAGACAGATGCTCGGGAGGTTTCGCCAATTTTCACACAGTTCCTGGACTGTACCTGGCAGCTAATGTCGCAGCGCAGCGAGTCCTTTGAGTTCAACGAGCGTTTCCTACTGATCCTCCACGACCATGTGCACTCATGTCAATTCGGCACCTTCGTGGGCAACTGTGAGAAGGATCGTTTGGACCTTAAGCTGTCCGAGCGCACTTTTTCGCTTTGGGGCTTTATGGCCAACCACCTGAACGAGTATATCAACCCGCTGTATAAACCCAATGTGGACGAAGCGATTAAAGCTAACCTGGCTCCGCAGTGCATCAAGTAGGAAGTATTTGAAGTCACCTAAGCCTTGTAGTTAATTTGTTTCTTTTATAGGTTTTGGCGCGGCATGTACAGTCGCTTCGAGAGCGGCATCCATCCGCGAGAACCACTGGGCGATTTGCTACTCGACAGCAAGGAGCACTGCAACTCGCTGGAGGATCACGTTCAGCATCTGACCAAGCGCATAGCTAGCTTCAAGAACTACATCTCTAAGTCGGCCAAGAAACTGCAAGACGCCACCAGCACCAATGCGAAAGTTAGCAAGGAGGTCTCCAGCAACGAAATCAATGATAACAAGTGAGAAACAAGTCATGGACAGACTATGCAGATACTAAGTGTTTCTTTTATTTAAATCCACTCTAGATATAACTACGACAAAAAACTTAGTGAACTGTCGGCTGCCGATGACGATCATCCTTTAAAGGCCGGCAACATGTCCTTTGCGAATCTGTCGCTGAGCGCCGAACAATCCAGCCCGCCACAGGCGTTGCCCGAGGAGATCAACTCCGTGGCTGTGGACTGGAAGCCCATGCGCAATGTGACAACCTGCTCCTGCTCCACCCCCTTTGATCAATTCAGCAAAAAGGTAGTTTATCTACGTTCTTAAACGTACCACTAATAATATGCCATTCTTGATCCTTAAACAGACACATTGCTGGCGCTGTGGGGACATCTTCTGCGAGCGCTGCATAGACAAGAATGTGGCTCTACCAGGACACGACAGTGGAAAGCCGGTGCCTGTGTGCCGAGGCTGCTTCCGGCAAATGCAAAAGCAAAGCCCGTAAAGAGGATGTGGGCTGGATCAAAGAATGTTGTTAAGTGATGAGGGAGCAGTGAATGTGCTATTGAAATGGAAACTCTATTAATTATATTGTGTGTATTTATTGTTGCATTTGTAGATGTAGCTGCTTATAGAAGCTCATTCAAGTTGTTGCAAATGAAAATCAAAAGAGTAAAACCAAATCAATTCACTAGCGATTGGCTTCCAGGCATCGTACTAGTCTATAAGCCGGGCACAAAACTGTATTTTGTTGTTAGAATTTAGAGCGACTAATTTGCCAATCACCCCATACAAGAAAAAGTACAATTAAATGCAAATTATAAATGTAAAATACATGTCAGAGCTGATTTGCTTTTAGCAGACCCAAAGGGGCCGCTTGTTATTAAAGGATCTATAATTACCGAAGAATTTACCGGACTAAGGATGTACAGACACTTGGGCTTATTGAGTATATTCCACTAGCATAAATGTGCAAAACACCCGTAAATTATGAAAACTATTAAAACTTGTTTATCGTTTTGATCAAAGTGTAATAAAAATTATTTATTCAACAACTGCGAGTTTCTACTGAGAGAACAAAGAAGTCTGATTAGTAGCCAATATCGGGCTTGATGCGCAGAATGACCGGAACACTGGTGCAGGGCAGGATAGCCACTTCGGTTACCACGGCACTAACCAGTTCCGGCGGAGTAATGTCGTAGCTAAGGTTGAGGGGCATTAGCTTGCCCTTAGCAGACCAATTGTTGAGCTGGCACTTGTCCCCGCGCACCAGTTGATTGGGATCACTCAGCTCATTGTAGACGATGGCGTCTGTCTGGAAGCGTTCGCTGAATTTGTGCGTCTCGCAGCAAACAAGTACGGGTACATTATGGGCATTGGCCACCAGGGCCACCTGGGCAGTTCCCGTTCGCGCCATCACATACCCGTTGGCCAGCAAGGCGTGTGCCCCCAACAACACCTTGGTGGCTTCGGCCATTACATAGCCCACCGCGTTGATCAGCACATATGTGCATGGGATTCCATGGGCGTGCAGTCGGCGCAGCATTTCCTGACCTTCGCATCCGGGCCGGGAATCGACGACAATCACCCGGAAGGCAACCTGGCGCCGCTTAGCCTCTTCGCAGATGAACTGGATGAGGGAAGAGCAGGCAAAGGTTAGCAGCACATCACCATCAGTGATTTTTTCTTGCAGGAAACCACTTATCGCTTGGGCGGCCTTTCCAATTTGATTTTCAATATAAGTATCGATGAAGTGGCTGAGAAGCTCTTTTAGCTGTTAAAAAGAAGATTTTAGTAACAAGAGTAGATAATTATAACCTCTTTGATAGACTCACTTCCGTTTCAGGAATATCCGCTGGTAGTTGAGTAAGTTGATTTTTGAATTGTTTGTATGCATTGGACACGGAAACAGCCAGTGGCCGGCACTTGTGCAGGTGGTCTACGTGGTATTTCACCACAGTGTCTAAACTGCGACCAAACTCTTTTTTGGCAGGTGTCTCAAAGTCGTGGACCACTTGACGCAGCGCGTGAAGGAAGGCAATGCATCGGGCATTGGACCCGACCACTGTACGCTTGGCGTACTGAACACCCAAACGTGCTATGCTTGGATGGATGAGCGGATCATTGATGAACTGGCTATATTCCTTGGCGCACACAAGATGATTGAACAGCTTTACCCGGCACTCTCCATTTGGAGTGCTCGCTGGACATTTGGTGGGTGAGCTGCTTGTGGCTGTTTTGGTTGGCGAGACGCTTTCCCGCTTAGGTTCCTTGGGAGGACCAAGGGGAGCACTCTTGCCAATTGCTTGGGATTTCTTTACCTGTCCTTGCGCCTTGGCTGCACGTTGAGCTTCCTGGATGGCCCGTCGCTCTGCCTTGCTAAGTGCTGGTTTTTTCTGTTCAGGAATAGAGCTGTACATCACGTTTGTTAATATAATTTACAGATTTTTACCTTCTCCTGATCAGCGTTTGTAGCTACAGGTACTGCATTAACTGTTTCTGAAGCTTTTTCTGCCACTTTTAGATCAGCCAGCTGTTGGGTTGCGGCCTCAATTTTAGCTGCTCCGCCCTTACCCGCTTTTTTGGCAGCCTTCTTTGCCTCACGTTCAGCCTTGATTTGCTCCCGTGTCTTTTCACCAGCCTCCGCATCCTTGCCATTTACCAATGTTGACTGAGCTGGCTTTGGAACTACTGAATCCGATTTCTCCTGGACTTTTGTTGTGGTGGTGGTTGTCAGCTTCGTGGTTATGGTCGTGTGCTCCACCTCAGTGATAATTTTGGTGGCAGGAGTAGCGGAGGTAGTCGAAGTGGCCTGTGTCACCGGCTTATTCTGTTTCTTGGCCTGTTTGGCCATCTTTTTCGCTTCCCTTTCAGCCATTATTTGGTCTCGTGTCTTCTCTGAGGCCATTCCATCCTGTTTTCCGGACATTGCACTGGCGGAATCGGTGGTTGATGTCTCTGGATTCGTTAGATGGCTATTTTCTAGGCGATTTCGTTTGTTGCGCGGTCGATTGCGTTGCCTTTGCTTCTTCTGCTTGGACTTCAAAGTCTGAGCGTCAGTCTGTTGATTAAGAATATGACATTAGATATAGACTTGGGCATAAAGTATGTATGCATTATTATCCAATTCAAAATCTTATAAAGAGCCATGCAAAAGTAAAAACCAAATTTATAGTTTTTGGAATAATAATATGGAAATTACACTCCAGTGAGTAAAGCTAGCTACCTGTGGCACTTGTTCGCTAGTTAAAACCATTTTGAAAGCTTGAAAAGAGAGAGACTCGGCAAGTTAAGTGGAAAAAGGATGTGAAAGGTTAAGGGTGCAGACTTCCTTAGCAGTGTTTTTAAGCTTCAGGCTGAATCTTGGTAAGCATGAAGTTCGTTTAAAATAGTACATCACTTTGGCTGTATATATGCACTTACCTTACTGTTTTTATTATTAATTTTTAGATATATCTTGAAAGTTTTGCTCACGACGGCAAAAAGTCTACAGCTGCAGGTTAATCGATAACTGATTCGATAGTCACTTGTAAACACATGGCTAGCGTTGCCAGTCCGCCTTATACCCACTGTCATTTTTAGTAATTCCTTGAAAAGATAAGTTGGCATTCCGATAGCTGTCTTTTATTTGTGAGGTTCGTATGTTCGCCTACCGCTGCTGAAAATTACATAATTTTTGCATCAATTGAAATCTCTTAAATTTAGCTCCGAAATCCACGACTACCATGGCCGACAAAGCTGCTGCTGAGAAACCCGTTGGGCGCCCCATGCGCTATCCATACACCTTCTCGGCGAAGATAGCCCAGTTCCCCATCAAGCACTACATTAAGAATCAGTGGATTTGGCGATACTACTTCATCGCGGCTGTCGCCTGCGTGCCCGTTTTCTACAAGATCAGCAAATTGGGTATGTAAAACTATCATCGCATTTGATATGCTTTCAATATCTGTTATGTTCATTTTTAGCCAACTCGCCCGAAAACAAGAAGGCATGGGCTGAGTCCCAGGCCAAGGAGCATGCCGAACACCACTAAAGGGCCAGTAAATTAGTCATAATTGTTGCTTCAACATTTCAGAGCTGTTTGTGTTGGATTTAACGTGAAATCGGCGAATAAATGATTTGAAACAAGGTTAAGTTAGATTTTTATTAAAAAAAATATCCTATAAGAACAATATATTTTAACTTAATATGTAAAGAACACGTAAATCGGGTAAAAAAATTAAAGACAAACTTCCTTTCTGTTACCTAAAGGCATTTAGGGGAATATCAATTAGCTAAATATTATCAGCTATACATATAAGCGACTTAAAAGGAAAGCGAGTGCAAGTCATGGGAACCCGTGAAATTCAAAAGAATATTCCTACATTATATATTGAACTAATATTAGCTAACTCTACCAATGTAAAATAAATCTTCTGTAGCATTAGTTTTAGTATTTATAGGAGACGTAACATTTAAATAGCAAATTTGAATTGTTGATCTTTTATATAGGAGATAGACATCAATGCACACAAAAATGTCTAAATATAATTTAGCTTTCGTTCCTGAACTCATAATTTCTTCACTAATTTTGAGTAAACCTATCTGTAGAGATTCACACAAAGCTTTATCAAAAACCAAAAGGCTAATAGAAAAAATCTGCAGAAACCCATAATACGACTCTGCTATGAACAGGCCTTAAGTACATAGTATATAGAAATAAAATTTCGTAGCCCTGAAAATATACCATATAGGTATCGATAGTTCGGTTTTAGGTTATCGTTAAGGGAAATGTTTTGGTGACCGGCTGCAGAAAAAACGCGGATTATTGTTTTAGTTCTCTGTTTTATGTATTAAATAAGTAGAGGCGCAAATGAACATTATCCAGCTACAACAGGAATAGCGAAATGTGTAAGAAAATTAAATCTTGTATTGGTTATTCTGCCATTTAATTTGCCAGTTGCTCTTGAAATCGCGACCACGTGAAATCCAGCAACAACAAGTCTGCGGGACCATGGATTTGGACGAGTTATCAAACTTTAATATTGATCAACTCCTTGGCTCCCCCACACCATTCCAAGATAGCCTGGTGGTTCCTTACAAGCAGGTTCCCTTGACAAGGATTAATGTGGGATCCAAGCGAAGCCGGCTAGCTGAAAGAATATCCCACAGCGATGAGCTGATCCGCCAAGTAAAACAGCTAAAGGCCCAGAATAAACAGCTGATTGACCTGCAACGTACCGCTCAGGAGGTGACGGATTTGTACCAGAAAGAAAAGCAGCAGCGAATAGAACTTGAAAAGCGCTGCAAGCAGGCACAAGATAAATGTGAAGATCTTGAAAAGGAACTGGACGCTCAGGCTCTAAACTGCGAAAATCTGCAGGAGGAGCTGCATGTCAAAGGATTGCCCGTGGATGCCAAAGATGTACTATCGATACTTATGCAGCTAGCACAGCGATTGGGTGACGATTGTGGACTCTTGCGCAGGCATCAAAATATCTTGAAGAAGCTAAGGGATCACTGCAAGGCGGTGAACATAAGTCCGCCTACGCCAAAGAGCCCTAATCCGCGGAACAAACGGAAAAGTCAACAGCCTGGAGTCAACCAATCCACACAAACCGACGAGGAACCTACTAAGGCCACGCCGGTACTTTGTTCTGTGGCCGTACAAGTGGAGAATCTAATAGAGACCAGAGACCAAGGCACGCAGCACAAAAACACCACCACCACCCGAGGAACCACAACAGCATCCTTTATTAAGCAACACGATGTGGGCACCTGCTTTCCTGAACCCAAACCCCTGCCAAATGTGCGGCAAATACTTGATGAAATGCTTTCGTGGCGGGAGGATATTTTAATTGAACCGATGAGTCCGCTGAGCGATCCGCAACCGGAGTTGGACATACCCGCAACAGCGAGTGTGGCCACCTGCACCACGCTGTGTGACATACACCGCGAGATTGACTTTATATCTGACCTTTCGGCCCAAATCAAAGTTTCCGCCTCACGCCCGCCCTCGCGAACCATGCTGGATAGTGTTAAAGAAGAGACCAGGACTTCTAGGGAACTAGCCAAGGAACTGTTCAACTTTCTACCTCAAAACCAAAGTTGCCTGACTAGCCTTCCGCCACAGGCCTTCGAGGAGCTCTGGCAAGTCTTTGGCCAAATGGTTCTCGGCCTGTTGCACAGGCGCTCAAATCCATCGCTGGCTACGCCACCAAGCGTTAGCCAAGCGGATTTCAGTAGCTGGCTGTACGAGCTCTATGAGGGCACGCAGAGCCAGACGGAGCTGACCTCCGACAAAAACATCAGCAAGAGAGGTAAAACCTTAAAAAACGTACTAGTACGTGGATTAACTCAGTCCACATTCTTTTTAGATTTCGCCACCAGCACAGAGTGCATAGATGTTGGAACAAATCCCATCATTGAGTCACCCAACATTAGCTACGGGGGAGATGTCACACCAATTCGTCTGCCTTCCAAGCCCAGAGAACCAAAGCGAAGATCCAAAAAACGTAAAGCTGGTACAGAACCGAAGCACATACTCAAACGAAAATGTCTGGAGATGGAGCCAGTAGGTCTTGAAAAAAATACTGAATCAGAAGTGGAGCATGAACAAAAGCCAGAAACGGCAATCCAATTTTTAAGCAATTTAAAATCTTTTAACATGGCCAACTGTGATAACCTTGAAATGGAATTGGATGAGGAGGAACTCTATCTGCTTCAACTAACTTCCGTCTCGAAAAAGCAAGACAATGATGAAAACATGAGAGATGAGGTTTCAAAAGACTCCGAAAGCCTGGCAGAAAACACCGAGTTACCATTGCCAGGAAATAATGTTAAAGATTGTTTGTCGGCAGTTCAGAAAGAGAACGTTTCGTCTTCAAAAGATGATACTGCTAATGAAGAAAATTGCAACTCACAGAATAAAAATAACAAATCGCTGTCCAATAAAACTCAAAATTCGGATGTTAATACTTTTAAATGCCCACAAACTTATACGAGTTGGGCAGAATTTTCTCCGATTGAAGCCATTCCATTGCATCCATCTTCGTATAGCAGTGATGTCGAAACGAATGCGATGAAAGAAAATGTATTGGCTGAAGAAAGAATCAAACCATTCAGCGAGAAACCAGATGATTTACCAGAAAGATCTGACTTGGTAACGTCCCTATTCGGTAGCGATTCCGATATAGAGTACGAATCGAGTGAAGATCATATAGATTCACAGTTTCCTGAATCAAAGGATGATTCTGATGATAGCGACGAAACAAATACCAATCAGCGAACAAAAGATTTATTGTTCGGCAGTGAATCAGATTCGGACGGAGAGGAGGAGCAAGTGGTCAACAAGTTACAAGACAACGAATTTGAGCTTATTGTTCAAAAAAATCAGTTTGATAAACTAAACACATCCGAATCAGCACCAATTGAAGAAGTTTCAGAGTCCAATACTGCGAAGGAACCATCTCTTAAAGAACTGGCTGATAAAAATGAACATGAGGATGACTGCCAAGTTAATACAGTCTCCATAGCGTCACCTAGTCTGCCTGATTTAGTCATAGTAGAACCACCTTTACTCACCGAAAACTCATGCCCTGAAGTTCAGACTAAGGAGAATGCACAACAAACAACATATATTGCCACCCAAAGCTCGAGTGACGAATCCGAGGACGAGTGTAGTCTGGTTATTGACGAAGCAATCTCAACAATGCAGCCAGAGGAAAAACATTCAGCTCGAAAAATACCTGTGAAACCAAGATCGCAAAATGAGGTAAAAATCTCTTCCCCCCCGGAAGTTCGTTTTACTCGTCAGAGAGCTAGACAATTGCTAGACGAAGAGAAATGCAATCCAGTAAAAGGGGTTTCGCTTGTGCAACAAATTAGGAATCAACTTAAACAGGCATTCATTAAATCAGAGCCTTTTAATAATGACTTAAAGCTTGATTTTAATCCTACACATGAAGTAAGGGAAAAAGCATCAGAGACACATATTGAACTAGAGGCAATTGAGCACACATATGCAATCAGCGAAGAGTCACCAGCATCTCCAGTTCCAACGTCAATGGATGAGCTCACTGACCCACCAACTGAAATTCCCCTAGAGCAAGCTGTTACTAGCAATGAAGATGGTCAATACAAGTCAATCCTTCAACATGTAATAAATGCGGAGAAAGGGGTGAAAAAGTTTAACAAGATGAAAAGGAAATCTTTGGGAAAGTCTCAGCCTCAGCTTTGCGCCTCTATAGGTAAATATCTTCGGGACACCATTCAACTTGAGTCTACCTGCAGTGATTTAGCGTTGGAGATCTACAAAGTGACTAAAGATGAGAACGTGATCGTCAATGCAATGGTAACAGTGATCTGCAAAATTGGCACAGAGGAAAATCCCGTAGAACGTCTGATGACTGCCTTGAAATATTTTAACTTTTCTCAGAGATTTATGGCTGAGCTAGAGGAGCGTCTGTTTCGGAATGTGAAAGAGCGGCCAAATGCTGAGTTGGCGCTGAAGTACGTCAAGCTCTACTTGAAGGCAGTGTCCCTACAAGCTAATATGTCGGTGGGATATGTGAATCCCGCAAGGTTACTGCTGGCTAAAATTTTATATCACTTCGACCGGGATATGCCTCCTCTGGCTTTAGAGCTGTTGTGCCAATTTCCCACGGTGCTTCCACACCGCGAACAGCGGGAATATGACAACTCGGATCCCTTGATCACCGTGATTAAGCACCTGCTGATGAGCCGGCAGTATGACATGCATGATCCGGAGGGACCTGAGCGACTACTGCTATCCAAGTTGCGATTCGAATATCACTTCCAGCCTTTTGAGCCAACTTCACACCAGGTGTTAGAAAACTTGGTGGGAAAACTGAAAGCTGGTCGTCTAGAGGAGCTGGGTTACGCCTTTGCACTGTTCTGCCGACGCTCTGCAAACCTTAAAGTGTTTGATACAGTGCTGGGGGAACATCTGATGCCGCTTGCCATCAGCTCCTGTGATCTTGCTGCCGAGAACGATTCGTACGATGACCGGCTTGTGCTACTGCTGCACTGCATCTCTGTGGTTTTGAAACCCCTGCCTAAACAAACTGATATCTCCGCTTTCATTGGGTTCTTGAAGCGGTTACTCGTGGCAGTGCCACGATCTGGAGTTCAACTGGCGGCAGTGCAGGCCGGTCTGCGTCTACAAAGATTCGGCTTCAAGTACACTTTGGATGTCCTAAAAGAGTACAGGCCAAACTATCAGCTGGATCCGCTAACGAGAGCCATGTTAAGATGCTTTGTGGAACGGCGAAAAAATCTTCGAAACGTGGCGGCCGCTGGGAGATCTTCAAAAGTTTAGAGGGTTCCTTGTATGAATTGCAACTATTTATTTATATATGTAATTGTATAGAATTTGAATTAAACTAAATGCCAACTGCGCTGCGGATCTTTACAAATTTCAACTTAAAACTAAAATACACAAATCAATTGCACTTAGGGTTAGATTGGGATTATGTGGGGAGATGGGATATGGATAGCAAGCAACAAATGCCGGAAACAAAAGAAGCGTAATCAAAATGTACAAAAGTGCTTAGCATGAATTTGGATAGAAGTAGCTATAGTTAATTAGTGGACTGTACAATAACATTGATCTAGTATAAGGGATTACACACATCAGTTGCTTCTACAACTCGAAATGCCTGCTGAGTCAGCCTGAACCATCCTTCTCATGTGCCGGAGGTGAGGTATAAGGTACTTGTGATTTCGGGCCAATCATTTCAACTTTATTTCCGGTCTAGAAGCGACGCTGGGCAGGGCTCCCAATTCCAGTCTCCATCATAGAGAGCCATCAGTTCATGCTAGATTAGTTTGTTCAGCTGAAATAGTTAAGATGCAATTAGTGAATGACATGGCATTAGTATAGGGGTTCCTACCAGCGATCGCCTCTGATGCTCTTTTTCCAAAGCAACTTGGGCCTGCTGCGGTGAGAATTTAAGAACCGCCGATATCACCTTGACCAGAGTCTCGTTATTCGTGTTGCCAGTCAGGTACTAAAAGTGATGGTATTATTGTAAACTTTTATAAAATTGAGTTAGATTTCTTACCTGGAACATAATGTTGCGCAAGTATTCGAACTCTGTATTAGCTGGAACAGCCTCGCTATGCTGCATGGATACCTTATAGATTACAATAAGCAATTAACAATTGGATCAAAGGACATATAGCTGCTGAAAACTCACGAGTGTTTCATCCAATTGCCGCGAAAGTCTTGCATTCTGCAACTTCAATCGTTCGTTGGACTGTTCGAGTATCAGGTAGTTCTCACATTTTTGCTCCAAGAACAGGTTACGATTCGTCACATCCTGTACCTCGTTCATAATATCCTTTAGTTTCACCTCCAGCTCAGCCTTCTCTCCAGCAGCAGCCGCCTCCTGAACGTTTTTAGGAGCCATGCTGGCGAGGAGTTGCTGGGCCTGAATGCCCGCTCGCAGCGTTTCCAGTTCGTTGATACGCTCGGCCATCTGCTGGTTGTTTGCTTGTAACTCCTCAATCTCCTGCTGCATATTGGACTCCGTGCCATCGCTCTTATGCTTTAGGTCTTCCAGTTCTCGCTGCAGCCGTTCGTTAAGGCTGCGCAGACTATCAGAGTCGGATGAGGCGGATAACTGCTCCTTGAGACTAGTTATCTCTTGATTTAGGGTTTCTACCGTCGCCTGCAAACTTATCTGTTCTTCCTGGCTTTTCGATAGTTCGTTCTCCTTATCGTGGAGTTGCTGCTGCGCTTGCAGAAGATCTTTTTGTACAGCGTCACTCTGCTCGGTGACAAAGCTCGCATGCTCCTTTTGACGCGTTAACTCGACTGCCTGCTCCTCGATGGCTCTTTTCAGTTCACCCACCTCCGCCGTTGCTGCTGCACTTTGGGTTTCTTTTTCGCACATTTGGACGGCATGCTGTTCGGCCTTTTCCTGGAGAACATATAACTCACATTGCAAAGATTTTAGTTTCTCCCTAAGTTCCACACCTTCAGCAAGCTCTTTCTCCAATTGTTTGGTGTGCTTATTCAAGTACTCATTCTCGATTAGGATTTCATCGAATTTGGCTAGCTTTTCGGAAGCATCTACTTTGTCCTTTAGCTGACGGTCTCTTAAGGCCATAGCTTCTTGCAGCTCTACAACTTGTCGGTTTTTCTGAGCTATAGACTCTTTGACTTCCTCGCGATCCTGGCTGTGCTTGATCTTCAACTGTTCCATCTCCAGCTGCAGTACATCGTTGGCTTCGTGAAGGCGTTCCACATCGGAATTGGCAGCACTCCAGCGAGCCTCCAAGGTGGCAATCTGCGAGGCATAGGACGAACTGGTAGCTTCAATCTTCTCCTGGATGCCCTGTTCTGACTGCTTGTAAGAATCAAGCTGTTCGCGAAGATTGCTGATAGTGGCCTGCAGTTGGGACTCACTCTCGGTGTTTTGGGCCTCTAATTCCGCGCATCGCTCGGCTTGATCTTTTAGTTGCTGCTCCTGTTCCCTCTGACGCTCTCTTAGCTCCAACAATTGTTGTTGCTGTTCTTCCAAATCTCGATCCAAATTGGCCTTTACGCGCTGCAGTTCCTCACTAGCCACCTGTAGACAGTCCAGCGTATCCTTGGTCAGTAGCTTGTCCTTTTCATAGGCATCGCATTTATCCTGCAACGTCCGGTGGTCGTGATCCATAAGTTCCTGGGCATTTTGCAGTTTGGAGTGTTCGTCCAGAACCTGTTGCATCTTCACCTGAACCTTGCTCATCTCGTCCTGTTTTGCTTGTAGCTGGGATTCCAAATGATTTGCCTGTTCCTCTAGAAGGCAATTCCGTTCCGCTAACTTAGTATTTTCGCTCTGGATTTCTTCCAACTTGGCAGAGGTTATTTCATCTTGAGCACTGCTGTCAACCTGCTCCTGCTGCAGTGACTCAATGCGGGATTCCAGCTTGTGCTTTTCACGTTCCAGTTCGCTGTGTGAGTCTTGAACCTGCTGCATTTGAGTCTGCATTGTGCCAATCTCCTCTAGTATTCCAGTGACGCGTGTCTGCAACTCATCCTTTTCGCTTTCCACCTGGCGGGAGTGGCTAAGTCGCTCTGCTAATTCACTTTGCAGTGCTTCAACACGGGCGCTTTGTTCGCTTGTTTTTGCCTGATGTTGCTCGTGCTGCTTCTTTAACTTATTCAACTTGTTACTACTGGCTTTAAGTTCCTTTTCCTTGGACAGAAGTGTCGCCCGACTACTGGCCAAATCCTGGCTAACTGTTTCTAATTGAGATTTCAGAGCAGCCACAGTTTCGCTCTCCGAGTTAGCATGTTGATCCTGGAGGATTTGGATTTCGCGCTGTAGCTGTTCGAGTTTAAGCTTATGCTGTTCCTCTACTGTGGATTTCTCAGAACTTAACGCGGCCACCGTTTCGCGCTCCATTTCCAGGCTTTTTTCAAGTTCAAGAGTATGTTGCTCCCGTTCCGATTGAACAGCTATTAATTCTTCTCTGGCCCGACCAAGCTGAGCCTCCCAGTCGTTTTGTTGATGACGCTGGACTATTTCGAGCAACTGATCATTTTGCAAACCGCAGGTCCTGCAAACTGTGCTCACTCTCGGTTTTTAAAGAATTCAGGCTTTGTTCCAAGGATGAAGCTTGCTCTTCTTTAGCTGAGAGTGCAGCCTGAAGGGCGTTCAAACTGAGTTCCGTGGACAAAAGTTTGGCTTCGGTTTCATCCTTAGCTATTTGTAGTCTATTTATCTCTTCCTGAGAATTATAACTTTGAGACTCCCGATGCTCGTTTGCCTGTCGTACTTTTTCTAAATTCATTTGGTTTTCCTTTGTAAGAGTCTCGAGTTTTTCTGTCAATTCCGTCAACTTCTCATCCTTAACTTTGTGGTCGTTCTTGAGGGAACTCAAAAGTTCATTCAATTCAACCAATTTCGAATCAGCTGTCTCCTTTGCTTCTTGTAACTTCCTTTGCTCATCATTGGTTTTGTTTGTTTCCGACTCGCTAGCTTCTTTGCTTTGTCGCAGCTTTTCCAAGTTAGTTTCATTTTCCCTTTTTAGGTTAGCCAGCTGTTTTTCCAGATCCTTTAACTTTTTCTCGTTCGTTGAGTGTTCGCTTCTGAGGGATTCTAAAAGTTGGTCCTTGGTCAAAAGCTCTGTTTCGACCTCTTTTATGTCCGCTTGAAGTTTTTCTAGTTGATCGTTTGAATCGCTTGCTTGGTTTTCACGATCTTGGTTTTGCTGTTGTAAATCTTTTAGTTTTTGTTCGCTGTCAGTTTTAATGACTTCCAGTTGTTTTTCAAGGACGGCCACCTGTTGCTCTTTGGCTGCATAATTTCCTTTCAGGGAGTTCAGCATGTGCTCTGAGGCCATTAATTTGGCATCTACTTCCTGCTTTGCGGCCTGGAGCTTTTTAAACTGTTCCTTGGCTTCGTTGCTGTGGGACTCTCGCTGAGTTTCCAAATGCTTTATTTTCTCCTGAAGCTGGCGCACCTCGGTGTCCTTGTGCTCCAGTTCCGTGTGAATAGCCTGTTTAGTTTGGGCTAGGAGCAGGACATTCTCCTCCTCCTGCTTGCGGAGAGCTTCGTACTTTTCTGTCACACTTTTAAGTTGATCTTCCCGATCTTTAAGTAATCGCTGAAGATCCGGAACACCATCACCGGAACCGCCATTTGCAGGCGGCGGTGACTTTCCGGCCGACTCATCCAGGTCGATAAGCTGTTCTGTGTCCAGCAACTGGCCACTTCGCTCCAGAGCCGCCGTAATATTCTCTGGATTCTCGCCCAGCAGCTGAAGCTTCGTCTGATACGCCTGCATTTTGCAACTCATGTCGTCCATCTCTACACGCAGTGCCTCCTCCAGATGAGCCTTGGCCTGTTGCTCCAGTGTGCACTGTTCCCTGAGCTCGCTTATCCGACGCAGAGCCTTGTCTTGCGTCTCCACCAGCACAGACTGCAAAGCGATTTTATCGGAAACATAAATTACACAAGCTTATCAATTGATAAGATAGACAGATAGATACCCTCGCCTTAGAACTGTCGCGCTCCAATTCCTTGTACTTTTTGGCTAGATCCGTGTAGCGACATCGGTACTTGTGATAGCGATCCAGGGACTTCTTGTACGCATCGTACAGCTGGTCCTTGGTAATCACATCCAGCCGAGCTGTCGATGCGGAGTCGTCAAACTCACTGCTCGTCTCATCCAGATCCGATTGCAAGTGGTAGACCTAGAGTATTACATAAAAATAGTAATATCTTAATGGGATTTTCACATATTTACAGCTGGTGCTTCGTAGGTGGGCAGGCGGAAGGACACATCACTGGCCATGGACGAGTTGGATAGCTTGCGGGTCCTGGAAGTGGCGCCATTCAGGGACTGAGTCGAGCGTCCGCGAAGCGAAGATGCACTTGTGGCCGGCAGTTTTTGGATGCGATAAGGCGAGTTCTGAGGCGTGTCTGATTGGAAGAAAGCTATCTAAGATAGGGAATTCCAGGTGACTCACGAAGTACTCACCCTCCTCCGTGATGCTGAAGAAGTTTTCATTGTTGCTGGTGTTGGTGTCCGAATTGGGTGTTGTGCTCGACGATGAGCTCACGGCGGCCTAGAAAAATGGTCAAATTCCCATTAACAGCTGGTCCCTTCAATTCTCTGCCCAGAAATGGGTCACAAATGCACTATATCGGAGCCCTTCCCAGTCTTACAAACACATATGTAAAGCCTTATCGGTGTTTGTATGTTTTCCTAATTTGCATTTTTCTTTGACACCTCCCACCCCGCCACCGCATTGTAAATACCTGTGCAGCATTCGCAAATTGCTGGAATTTCGATGGCGACGCCTTCACCTCTTCAATCAACTTGTTTTTCAGGTTGGCAAACATTTCGAGCCCGTGCTGCGCTATTTTATAACTGCTTGCGCTACCTGGTTCAAGCACAATTTAATTTTTAATTAAAAAACATCTAAATAAATACGTGTCTGCAGATGTTTCCCAAACGGTCACACTGTCGTTATAGTCAGGAGCTATCGATAATAAACATAATATCTACTAGTGACGAATGCTTTTCAAAACCAAATGCATTTTCTTTTAATAATAATTTTGTATAAGTTTTTTAATGTTTATATAGCTCAGGTTTTAAATCCTATCCAATAATTTTAAATTCAGTTCACGATTTGCCGAAGAGTCGACCATCCAGAAACAAGCCAGTTCCGGCAGGTGGCGCTCCTGCATAAAAAATCTAAATCCGTTAAATTTAAATTTTATTAATTCTGTTGTAAAAACCAGTTAGTCGCTCTTTCAGTTATATGTATATATTTTCTTATTTATAGAAAGTCTTTAGGTATACATTTCTAGCATCTCCATTATAATGAATGAAATTTATAATGCTTATACGCTTAATACTGAACGAAACCTGAACAAGTTTGCTAATAAGCCAAAGATTTTGCATTTAAAGTATCCGTTGCTTGTGCTTGGTTCATTTATATATTTTGTGTACAAGCGCTATGTTAAACACAATAAAACCTGTTCATGATTCTGGGCTTCAAAAGTTTCCCTATAAACGGTACCCCTTTTTATTGATCTTATTAAATCACTGATAGGCCTTTTCAGGGGTTTTTTATCCTCAAAAATTGTCTAAGATATTAGTCCTTATGGGTATTCATTTCATATAAGTGGGGTTAGACAGGTAGTTGTTAAGTATACAAAACTATAGAGAAAATGTAGTTCGCCATAAATTGTTTTTCTTCACTAGTGTATTTCTCTGAAAGGTACTTTTAAGAAATAATTAATTTTCAGGCGATAATGCATCCAGCGTGATAACTAGTTCTAGCTAAGGAATAACTAATAACTAAATAACGAAGAAATACATTTTACAGTTGGTGGAAATTTCCCACATACATTTTCATATTATTTCCTATACATAATACTCCTGAATAAATACGAATCTCCGTTTTTAAGTAACAGTATTAACCTGTTGTGGCATGTGAGACAGATGATTTTCCGAGTTTTAATAACTTCCAGATTTATGTTCACTTTAAAGCCTTCAAAATATGGGTGTTTTATTGATGCGGTTTTCAAATACATTTAACATTTTTTGAGTTATTGGTAGTAGTGTTCGGAGTGCACTTGGGGAAATACAAAAGCGAGTGAAATGCATTTAAGTAAATGTCTCAAGTTAACACATCTGTGTGGTCACTTTCTCCTGGTGGATCAGCGCTCACTTGTGCAGGTTGTTGAGGAACTCCTTGTGGCGCTGGATGGCCTCCTCGTGCTCCTTGATTTGCTGATGGTGGAACTCAGCCTGGTGGATTTGGTCGTTCTTCAGGCGATCGAGCTGCTCCCTTTGCTGCAACAAAACAAATCAAACAGAAATGTCGATTAGCCAGTGTAGAACACAATTAAAGATAGCGAGTCGTAAAAAAAACTAATTACGGGTTAGGTAAGCCCGCCCACCCTTGAAGCGTCCCATCAATAATGGACTGTCATTATTAGCTGCCAGCCATATAAGAGGCTTTGGCCTAAGCCGTTCCCGAGCGTAAACAATTCCACCTTTGTCGACTTCCAAGAGCAAATATTTGGTTAAAAATTTTTAGCACGAACTCGTCACACAGGCCCACGAAAATGTAAATATCGCCCGAGTGGCCAAAAGAAACATAAGACTGCAAGTGAGCGAAAAAGACCGGGGGAAAACCGACTGCCAATGAACCTGAATCAGCATCAATACCAGCACTGCTAACCGTTCTGCCTGCTCATCTTCTGCCGCCCAAAACAAGTCTGTTTTCAGTTGATAGTTGGCTTCCGATGTGAAACGACGAAGAAAGTGTTCCCAGAGATCGGGGTCACGTATTAAATTTTTGCGTATTTGAGGCCGCATCTGACCAAATATCAATAGAGTTTACACTCTTAATTGGCTGTCGACAAGAAAACAAAGCCTCTCTCTTCAACCTACGCCACCGCCTCTCTTCTACCTATCAGAGGCCTCACTCAGAAATTAGTTGATAAGAAGCTGCCCTTAGTTCGACCAGAACATTTACCATGCGACTCTGCTGCGGAATGGTAGCTTTTCGGATATTGTTGATTGTGTTCTCGTTAACTCTGTCGAAGGGTTATAGCGCTGGAATTGGAGGATCGCGGCCAATCCGTTCTGTTGAAACACTGACTCAGTGGCGCCAGTTGGAGTATGGTTTCCCCACTGCTCAGGATCGTGAGAATGCCCAGACGGCGGGTAATCTAGTGCCCGAGAATGGTACTCCCATCGATGTGCAGGCCCATTATTTGCCCAATGGTATGATCAGGTTGTTCACAACCATTCCACGTTTTGCGACTGGAATTCCCTATACATTGGCCACCGTTTCCTCGACGCAGGGTAGGAATGGCCCTCTTCTGCAGCCATATCCCAGCTACTCCTGGCACAATGGCAACGGCGAGAACTGCGACTTAATAACCTCCGCCTTCCGAGTAGCTGTAAGTTGAATTTCTTCATGTCTTAATTAAGTTAATATCGGGACATTTTCCTTCCAGGTCACAGAGTGCAATCAATTGTGGGTCATTGATTCGGGAATCATTGGCAGCACCCAGTATTGTCCGCCACAATTGCTGCAGTTTGACCTGAGCACCGATCGCCTGCTGCATCGCTATCGTTTTCCGAACAGTACTTACATTCCGAGCGCTTCTTTGTTTATAACTCCAAATGTTCTGGTGCAGGATCCTCCGCCGAGGGGAACTTGCAGTCGCACCATGATCTATGTTGCCGATGTGAGCTATCATGGCTTAGTGGTTTACGACCACCACGCGCAGACATCCTGGCGGGTAGAAAACCGTTTCATGTACCCCGATCCGGATTACGGCAAGCACACCATTGCCGGCGAGAGCTTTTATCTGATGGATGGCATGTTTGCGTTGAACAATAATAAGCGAAATCTGTATTTCCATCCATTGGCTAGTGCTAGTGAGTATTCCGTGCCATTAAGTGCTCTAAATAGACAGGAGAACTGGGCAAATGGGCCAGAGGCCCTGCCGGAGCAGTTCATCTTACTGGGCAGACGGAGGAGTGAGTGCGCCGCATCCGCCATCGATAGCAGGAATAACGTATACTGCGTAACATTCAATCCTATCAAACTATTCGTATGGAACGTAAACACACCTTATAATTCGCGAAGTTTTGGCAATCTGCCGGCCAAGTCCGATGAGCTTGAGTTTGTCAGCGGTATGAAGGTGGTACGCAACTCCGCCGGACAGGAAGAGCTATGGTTGCTCTCCAATCGTTTTCAGGTGAGATTGAATTGATTAAATAATTTGAATTATGTGTAATATTCGTTATTCCTTCAGAAAATTGCCGCAGGTACACTGAACTCCAATGAGGTTAACTTCCGCATTCTGCGTCGAAAGTTGGATGATGTTCAGGGAGGCGTTTTGTTCAATAGCGACGAAGACCTAACGAATCGCTTGGTGTTTAACTAGTTATTTACCAAATCCAACTAAATTAATCTATGTAAATATTTATGTTGTTGTAAAGATTACTGGAGAATTGGCGGGCGAGTTGTTAGAAAACAACGAAATACCAAGGAATTTTATTGCAGCCTATCATGAATTGTAAGTTATGTAAATCAGATGATTAAAATTTTATTTCTGCTTTAATCATTCTTAAGCCTTTCTCTAACGAGTCAAAAAAAGAAAACACAAAACGATAAGCTTGCGAGATAGATATTTAAAGCTTTGAGGTTCTCTCAAACAACTTTTAACTTCTTCAAAGAATAATGAAATTCTTAATTTACTTGTAATGTATAAATGAGCTTTTTTAAAGGAAAAGGAAATTTTGTAATCCGAAGATTTAGGTTTTGGTTTTATTTTATATCAAGCTTCACTGTATATGCTCCAATATGTAGCAAATCTTTTGCGGCCCAAAAATTATTTCATGCTAAGGTTCAGGGTCATTTGTTATCGCTAGATGATTGAGCAATTCGCGGGACTAAGCAGCAATCTAGCCACTTATGAATCCCATAGAGTTTTAGAAGTATCGGTAGCTTGAGATTGGACTTGATTTCTCGCCGACAACTGACCTTAACCGTTTTGGGAATGAGAAAAAGAGCTTGGAACTGGATTGGGAACTAAATTGTATTGACTGGATAATTGATAACATTTAATGGGGCGATGAACCGACCGAACGTACCAAATGGGTGGCGTGCATAATTAGCCAACACAAGCAACTTGTTTCTGGAGGTGGAGACCAGTAAACAAACTGCCATCGCCCGACCAGAATTTCAGCGCACAGAGTTTTGTGTGTACAATTAAACCAGTTACAAAAGCTGACCCGCTTAGTCCGCTGAGTGGCTTGCCGGATTAGAAAGACATGGGCCTGTTGCCCGCCGCGCATGCGCAGTATCCGTTTGGACTTTAAGTGGAGCAGTCGCCGCGAAAGTGAAAGGATTACAGCATGCAGTTTTGGATTGCCTTTGGAGCCTGCTGTTGCTGGTGGCTGGCAGCATCCACCCAGGCCTTGGAAAGTGTTTTTGGAGCATATAACCTAGAGCTCGAGTTCCCATCGCCACAGGAAAGAGAGCGAGCACTGAGGGAGGGCCTTTATGATCCAGGCAGTGTTATACCAATCGATGTGGATGTCTACTATAAGCGTAAGAGCTCCTAACTTATCCACAAAAGCTCGCTTAACTTGATCTCTCTTAGATGGCGATGCCACACCCTCGATATTCGTGACCATTCCGCGGTTTGCCAAAGGTGTTCCATACTCCCTGGCCTATGTCACAAACGAAATGCGTCCGAACGGAACTCTACTACAAGCTTATCCCAGCTACGAGTGGCACAAATCCCACGGCGCTGATTGCAATGGCTTGACTTCAGTTTATCGGACGCAGATAGATGAATGCGGACGGATGTGGATCCTGGACAGTGGGGAGATCGATTTTATCCAGCACTGTCCTCCCCAGCTGTACGCGATTGACTTGGAGAGCGGAAAGGTTGTTCATCAGTACAAGATGCCGAAAAGATTGTACAAGGAAGGCGTGAGTCGTTTTGTCACGCCTACCGTGGAGCTGGATCCACATAATTGCGATGTGGGATTTGTGTACATGGCCGACTCTATTGGGGATGGTATTGTGGTGTACGATGTAGCCGCCCAGCAGTCATGGCGGATTGAGAACAAGTTCACTTATCCCCATCCAGACTTTGGTACTTTTACCATAGCTGGCGAAAGCTTCCAGTTATGGGATGGCACAGTATCCACCACTCTTACGCCCCACGGATTAGGTGGTCGCCGGATGATGTATTTTCATTCGCTGTCCAGCGACTGGCAGATGGCCATCCCATTGGATGTCATCAACAACGGCAGCAATTGGCGACTGAACGATGTGAGCGCCGCTTTGGACCAGTTTCAAGTGCTGGGGAAGCGTGGAAGCCAGTGCGTAGGTACCGCCATGAGTGAGTCTGGTTTCCTGATCTGCGGCCTTGTCCAGCCAGCCAGTCTTTTGGCCTGGAACATCCGATCTTCCTACAGCCATCAAAATCTGGTAATGCTAGTGGAGGATGAGCAACGGCTACAGTTTTCTAGCGGCTTGAAGATCGTGCGAAATCATGAGGGCAAAGAAGAGCTCTGGGTGCTGTCGAATCGACTACAGAAAGCTTTTGGTGCGGGACTGGATTTCAAGGAGATCAACTTTCGCATACAAAAGTGCGGTGTTCAGGAGCTGCTCGGCGGAAGGCCGTGCTACTAACATTAATATTGCTCAATAAAGCTTATGATGAAATGGTTTTGTATTTTGTTTACTTACCTTCTTGTAGAAGTACTCCTCCTCGCGGGCTGCCTCCAGCTTGCCGAAGGCGCCACCGGCCTCGCGGATGGAGCCACCACCACCGCCTCCCTTGCCAGCGCCACTGCCAAGGTCGCCGACCTGGCTGCCGCTCATCTTGGCCAGCCTGTGGAGGGGAGAAGCGGAACTTGAAGAATCTTCTGGTTTCGGTTTTGTGAGTTACGCAACAATGGAGTGAAGTCAGCATAGAATGCACACACACACGCGCGCAAAGTGAAAGCGATTTCGATGGGATCGAAATTGTTTATCTTATCGGGCGTTGAGGAAAATGTAAGTGCGAGGCATACATAACACTTAATGTGTGAAGGATGGAAATTGGGTAAACCGTTTATTTTTGTAAGCCAATTAACAGGTTAGATATACATGTGAGTGAAATACAACTGAAAACTTACTGGACTCCAGCGGGGTACAGACGGGATGCGCTACGACGTACAACGAACATTCTGCTTGTTTCTTAGATATATAAACTGCAAGGCAGAAGAAATAAAATTTATGTAAAAATCACAGACAAGACACAGAATTAAGTAACTGTAAATTGGTCAACTTTAAAAACGAGTTCGTTCAACTTTTTAAAACAGCCACGACGCAATAAAGGCAGTTATTTTTAGATGATTCTTTGTTTATTGTTTGCATAAAATATATGCATTGACACAGAATACCTGCTATACATATACAATTTAATGCCGGAATAATGCGGCGCGGCTGAACTTTACTCACTTTTTTCGAAGTTTTTTGCAGAGTGACTGTAGGCGATACGTTTAAAAATACGTTCGCGCTAGAGCTTGGCACCCATTCACAATAGTAAGGAAACCGATGCTAAAACGGAACATATGTACCATTCCCACTACCACCGATAGCAACAAAAACGACAAATCCCGAAAAGCTTCTACAATCTGTAATTATTTGGAAAATTATTAAAAAGTAGTGATTAATTTGAAACATTCTCGATATATTTAAAGACACTTTTTTAAGAGACCAATTCGGTATCAATTTATCCGACGGGTTGCAGTCTTTTTTGTGGTACAGTGTGTCGTATTCGCCCAATCGCACTTATCCGCAAGGAAGTACTCTAGAGGACCTGTGAAAGAATCAACTTTGTCACTTACATTACGAGCCATGGTTTTGAGAAACTGTCTGCATCTTGACCACCGAAAATCTTTCCGATAATGTTATGATGTTCTGTTGTTCCACAATTCGTTACAAGCCAATAACCAAATCCCGATATTTCTTTTAAAAAACTTGAACTAAGAGCGATAATCAAAGCACTTGGCGGGAGCACCGATCCACCATCTGGTCACACTAAACTAAAATAAAAATCGATATACGATAGGCTCACGTACAAACTGCAGTGGCCAAATCGAAGAATTTAATTGTTTTTCGGTTCGATTCCGGTAAAAGGACCACGCATTTATACTCTCAACATGGCCGATGTAGACGATGGGTCCGAGCTGCTGTTCTTCGACACCTTTTCGCATGAAGAAGTGACGGTAAGTGCCTGCGTCTACGAGAAGAGTTTTCTAACCCCCACTCTTCATTCCTAGGACATCAATTTGGACTTGGTGCAGTTCCCCAAGCCAGTATTCATTACTCAAGTGCGGATCATTCCGTTGGGAGCTCGGGTGCAGGCAGACTTTCCAGGCGGCGTTCGTCTGGGAGCCACCAATCCCTCGAAGTTCGATCTAGAGTTCTTCGTCAACGACTTGGGAATGCCGGCTGCGTCGGCGTTTGAGAACCTCGGCCTGTTGCGTTACAACCAGAATGACTGTATCCATTTGGACTGCTCGCAGGAAAAGATTGTAACGGATGGATTGGTGCTACGCGGTTGGTACAGCACCATCACACTGGCCATCTACGGCATCTTCACTAACTCGGTGACAGAGCCGATTGCCAGTCCGACGTTGCCTTGTGAACCTGTTGGTCCGGAGATAAGCAACCTTAGCGGCGAAGTGCTCCACCAGGAAGATGTTTTGAAGGACGAGTGGCAGGAGCCAATGCAAGCGGAAATGCTAACCGCCCACAAAAGCAACGTCAGCGACTACGATCCGGAGGACATGGAGTACGGTATGTCGCGGGATCATTACCACCAACACTCCGAGGAGCAGGATCAGCGAGAAATGCGCCGATTGCGACGCTCCACGCACTCCACCGATCACTCGCCGCCACCGCCTAGAAGGTCACACACGCACTCAGAGAGCAATGACAGAGATTACATCAGATGGTAAGTTATTTTTTTTTTTAACAGTCTTCAACTAACCATTAGCTCTTTAAATCAGTTCCCGCGACAAGGGCTCTAGGGATTGGTCACGTTCGCCGGAATACTCCAGTCATCGGTCCCGTCGCAAGCGCTCGGAGAGATCTCGCTCCGATGTGGACGAGCACAAGTGGCCCAGGACCCCGCCTGCATCGATTGATTCCCCGTCGCGGCCGCGTTCGCCTGACACGATGGACTACGATGACGACGACTCGCGCTCCCATTACAAGATGCAGTCGTCGCACTACAGGCACTCCTCGGAGTCCTTGCACCGTGGAGAGCGAGATCGGGACGATGAGGACCGATCCTGTACGCCGCAAGAACAGTTCGAACCCATTCTTAGTGATGATGAGATCATTGGGGACGACGAAGAGGAGGATGCTGTGGATGCAGCTGCCATTGCGGAGTACGAGCGGGAATTAGAGGCCGCTGCTGCCGCTGCTCCTCCTGCCATAGATGCTTTCGAGCCCTGGCAAAAACCATTGCTGGTATATGAAGGGGATATGGCTGCCCACTTTAGCAAGGAACTGGAAACTCTAAAGCTTCTTTTTAAGAAGCTGGTCTTGCAAACCCGTTGCGAAAATGTTACTTCATTCAGCGAGGAGCATGGTGCAAGTGTGGACGAAAGAGAGCAATTTGTGTACTTGGGAGAGCAACTAAACAACCAATTGGGCTATTTAGCACAGCATTTCAAGAGGAGGAACTTTGTCCTGCAGCAGTTTTTTGGAAACGATGAAGTGCATCTACGCCAGGCGGCAAACGTCCTGCAGATTGCCCTGAGTTTTCAAGCAGCCTGCATGCAGCCGCAGCCTGCATTTAAGATCCGACATATCAAGCTTGGTGCCCGTATGGCTGAGCTTCTGGGCAGTAGCGAAGATCTCTTCCAGCATTTGTTAAAGGAGCACAAATTTGATACCTTCGAGGCAGTATTTCGTCTGTACCACGAACCTTACATGGCGTTGTCCATTAAGCTGCAGCTTCTCAAAGCCGTTTACGCCTTGCTGGACACTAGGATGGGCATCGAACATTTTATGGCCTCAAAAAATAATGGTTACCAGATGATAGTCGAGGCCATCAAGAACGCCAAACTGACGAGGACAAAGTACGCACTGCAGGCGATTATAAAGAAACTGCATTTGTGGGAAGGCCTGGAGACTGTGCAGATCTGGTGCCGGCGACTTTTCGTGGACAGAATAATTATACCGGGAAATCGTGACCAAATGGAGGACACAGTGATAACCTGTCAGCAAATAGAGTTCGCCTTTGAGATGCTAATGGATGCATTGTTTTCCAGCCAATTGAGCTACTTGCAGCCTCGCCGTTTTCTTCCCGTGTCTAAGAAGTTCGAAGTGGTTACCGATCCCACGGCACAGCGGAGCTTCGGAAATGCCCTACAATCCTATTTAGGACAGAACTCATTGGCGGAATCTTTGCTAGTCATGTTGGGAAACTGCAAGGAGTTGCCGGCCACCACATATCTAAGCATGCTGGATTTGATACATACCCTTCTACGGTCCCATGTAGGCATTGATTACTTTGTAGATGATGCTTTTCCTGTTACCCAAACGATTGTAGCCATATTGCTGGGTTTGGATGAGATTCCTAGGAATCCAGAAGAAGAAGAGGTAAAACCGGATAAGCCAGAACCAGAGGATAAGCTAATGGAAGACGAGAACAAAGTATCGGAAGCAGGTGAGAAGCAAAGTGTTCCACCCGCCGACGAGGAGGTAAAATCTACTGCTCCCGCGGTTCCTGTTTCTGCTCCAGTTCCGGTACCTCAAATGCGACCCAGGCCGATCCTTCGCCCTGTGCTGCCACGGCTTGCAAGATTGGGCATCGAAATGTCTTACAAGGTTCAGACCCGTTACCATCTGGATGCCATTGTTTACGCAGCCGCAGCTCCCGAATACGACGCCGTCAAGTTGGCCACTCATATGCATGCCATTTACTCGCAGACCTGCGACCCCGCTGGACGGCAGCACACTGTGGAAGTGCTGGGCTTGAATAACAATCTTAAGATTTTTATGGATCTGATTAAGAAAGAGCAGCGTCTGCAGACGCAACGCCAACTTAGTTCCCCTGGTACCAAGTACAAAAGCCCAGTGTTGAGCTATGCGGTGGATATGGTGGATGCCTGCGTTCGCTATTGCGAACAGTTGGACTACCTCATCGAACACGGGGGCGTGATCTTGGAGCTGGCTAAGAATCATGAGACCTTTGAACCGTCGGTGTCTGCAGTGTTGCAGGAGATGTACGTCTACATGAAGCCACTTGAGGCAATAAATGTATTCGTGTATGATGACATCATGCCGCTGGTGGAAGTGATAGGCCGCTCTTTGGATTATCTTACTACTTTCCCTGGAGATCTTATTATGGCCCTTCGGATTTTACGTTACCTCTCCATCAGCAAGCCAATTGCAGGACAAAAAGCTCCTCCTGTAACCGAGGAGCTGAAACATCGTTTTGTGGCCCTGCAGTTATACGCAGCAGACGGTGTCCAGCTTTGTATTCAAATTATGGAGAGGCTTTGCGCTTACTTCGAGCAGCCTGGTGCACATGCTCCTGCCTTGATGACCATACAGGGAGTTCATTGCTGCCAGATCATGCTCCCCACATTACAGATCCTCAGAGAACTGCTCTCATACGCAATCCTAAGTAGAGATGGCACCTACAAGGACCTCACAGCCATCGATCACCTGGTGAAGGTGTACTATTTGCTCTATTACTATCCGACGCGCTGTCAGGCGGGACTGGAAGTAGAACAGTGCAAGATGGAGGTAGTCCAGACCCTCCTCGCGTATACTCAGCCTAATGAACAAGACGAGGAGTCACTGCATAAGTCCCTTTGGACGCTGATGATTAGAGAGGTTCTTAAAAATGTTGACGGTCCGGCACACTTCATTCCAGGTGACTTAAACCCGAAGTAATATAATAAAGCAAAGCTACTTACTATATTTCTTTGTTAACAGGACTTAAACTCCTAGCGGAGCTGCTACCTCTGCCTCTGCCTATGCCGCAGCCACTTTGTGACCAATTGCAGCAACAGCACAAGCAGCGTCTAATCACCGAGCGGAAATTGTGGTCCGCCCACTTGCACCCCCAGAGCGGGCAGATCGCCAAGCTGGTGGAGGCACTTGCTCCCTCCAGCTTCCCACAGTTGTCCGAACTCCTGCAGCGAGTTTGTATGCAACTGTCGGATCTGGCGCCAAACATGACGCTGCTAATCGCAAAGACTATCACGGAACTTCTGTGCAATGAATATCAGACATCAAACTGTATTCCGACTACCAATCTAGAACGCCTACTCCGTTTCTCAACGCGCTTGTGTGCATTTGCTCCTTTGAAGAGTTCAATGTTATCTATTCTTTCGGGGAAGTTCTGGGAACTTTTCCAGTCCCTTTTGGCCCTTAATGAATTCAACGACGTGGTTTCCAATTGCCAGGAGGCAGTGCATCGAATTCTGGACAGTTTTCTAGACTCCGGTATTTCGTTGATCTCTCACAAGTCTACGGCTTCGCCAGCTCTTAATCTCTCTGCAGCACTGCCCCCTAAAGAACTAATCCCTAGAATTATAGATGCTGTCTTTAGTAACTTAACTAGCGTGGAAGTCACTCATGGTATTTCAATCCTGGCGGTTCGTAATTTAGTCATTCTAACCGAACATGAGTAAGTGATGATTTCGAAGGTGTGTTTATAAAATAAGTAAACAAAATTTAATTTTATTCTACAGTTTCACTTTTTACCACCTGGCGCAGTTGTTGAAACAGAAGATCACCGAGTTTCAGGCGTGGATGGAGCGCGTAATCCTTCACAACGAAACAGTGGAATACAACGCCAACATCGAATCTCTAATCCTGCTGCTGCGTTCTCTAACTCAAATCGAACCTCCGCCCACGATGTCGGCGATGCCCCATCGAACACTGAAACTTGGCGCCACGGAGCTTGCCCAGCTGGTGGAGTTCCAGGACATTGAATTGGCTAAGCCACCGGTTCTGAGCCGAATCCTTACCGTCATGGAAAAACACAAGGCGGTAGCCAACGAAGCGGCGCTTAGCGATCTTAAGCAACTGATTTTGCTGCAAGCCTCAAAGCAGGAAATTCTTGCCGGAACCAGTACTGAAACGCCACCTGAGGTAGATGGAGACGCCAATCCATCAACCAGCACCTGCAGTGGGTCTCTTTCCGTAGAACCCTTTTTACCCCAGGCTGAGGGCATAGTCACGCAGTATGAGGCACGCCCAATCTTCACGAGATTCTGTGCCACCGCAGAAAACGCCCAACTTACAGCTCGCTACTGGCTAGATCCGCTGCCCATCGAATTAATCGAAGACATGAACGAACCCATATACGAGCGTATTGCCTGTGATCTTACAGATTTGGCGAACGTGTGCCTCAATCCGGATTTGAATGTGGCTGGAGATAGCAAGAGGGTGATGAACTTATCCGGCTCACCGCAATCCAATCGGGAGATGACGCCAACGGCTCCTTGTTTCCGCACGCGTCGAGTGGAGGTGGAACCCGCCACTGGACGACCCGAGAAAAAGATGTTTGTTTCGTCAGTAAGGGGCCGCGGTTTTGCTCGTCCTCCACCTTCCAGGGGCGATCTTTTCAGGTCCCGTCCACCCAACACATCAAGACCTCCGTCCCTACACGTTGACGACTTTCTGGCCTTGGAAACTTGCGGCGCCCAGCCCACGGGACCTACTGGCTACAATAAGATACCCTCCATGCTAAGGGGGTCTAGAGTGGGACGCAATCGAGGATCCCGCATTTCGGCAGCCGCTGCTTTCAGGTAAAGTGCATTATTAAGATACTTTGATCTGATAACAAAGAAAAAATTCACTTTTTGACAGACAAAAGAAGCTTATGCGCATTGGCTCGCCATCTAGCTGGGCAGAGTCTTCCGGATCATATCGCTCGGGATCGGATTCACACTTCAATAGCAGTGATTCTCACTATTCATCGCCCCACTACAGTGGACGCCCCCGTGGCCGTGGCCTGCGATCAAGACCATCCTACTTAAGATAGGAAAATGCAGCTTAACTGCCTGGTTCTCGATTCAAATTGAGTAAAAGTGCTAGAATTTATGAACCAGGTTGATATTAATTAAGCAGTTTAATTCCATTAGTTTATAACAAGTGCAAGTTTTGTATTAGCACGCTGAATTTCCCCAATTTGTATATAAGCTTAAAGTTAATTTTCTGTAATTACACTGTGCAAACGGACGTCGTGCGTCTCCATGGGCAGCTCTTCATTGCTGACTATCTGCTCGTTGAGGGCCAGTGCCATCAACGAGATCTTTTTGTGCGGGTACTTGTCTGCGTGCTGTTTTAGAAACTTGTCGTAGTAACCCATTCCATGGCCCATGCGAGCTCCACAGCGCGTGAAGGCAACCCCAGGCACAATAAAGAGATCGATGCCGTGTCCTGTAGCAATGGAATCCCTATTTAGAGAAAGTGTGATCTTATCTTTAAAACCCACCATTAGTCATGGCATCTTCCCGGGCCTCCTTGAAGTCCGGCTGCTTGATGTTCCACTTGGTCAGTGGCAGACTGTCGTACTCATCCATCCCGCGCAGTCTTACCATTTTCATCTTACTGCCTTCGTACGTTGGAACGAAGACCATCTTATCCAGACGAAACATCTCTCGGAGTAACGCCGTTGTGTCCAATTCAGAAGTGGTGCTTAGGTAGATGCTCACCCTCTGGGCCTGACGAAAAATATCGCTTTGAAGCACCTGGCGTCGGAGGATTTGGCTGATTAGTTTTGACCTTAAACCCCAAAGACATTTGAATTTAACCTTAGCAGTGACAGCTTGCGACTGTCGGGCAATTATCTCCCCGTCAAGGTACTTAAGGGCATCCTTCATGCGCCTCCTCAGCGCCACTTTCAGGGTATTTTGGATCGTAGCCGCCATTCGTACTGTCGGATCTGGTACTGCACACTCGTGCGAACCGGTCAGAACTGTTTCCATCTGCCTGTGCGACCGAGCATCAGTAGGTCTCGTCTGTGGGGCCCTTATCAGTTCTAGTTACACCGACCCACTGGTATCAGTCGGCTCTCTTTTGGAGCTGTGTTCGTAAACAAATGGGATGGGAGCAGTCTGGAAACCAGAAGCTTAGATTTCCAGTAGCTAACCAGAAAAACTATCAGCTGATCAGGGATGGGAGTTACTCCTTATGTAACTTCGTATCTCAATATGTTTTCCCTTCACTACACTACTAAAAACATATATATCAAATAAAAACTTTTTAATTTAAACAACTTATTATTATATTTTGATTAAATACAATTCAGACAATATAATGAAGTGATAGTTAAATATTTTTATATTACTTCTTGGGAATTTCGGGAGCCTTGGGTTCTGTCTTGGTTTTTAGATTCTTTAGCTGTTCCTTTTGCTATATAAAAATTCAAGATAAACATTTTTCATGTAAATAAATAGTATCTAATGGGTACCTGCTTATAAAAGAACTCTTCTTCGCGAGCAGCCTCCATTTTACCAAAAGATCCACCTGCTTCTCGAATAGTACCGCCTCCACCGCCTCCCTTTCCGGCACCACTTCCAAGCTCTCCGATCTGTGACATTTTAAAGTGTCTGCGATGCAAGGTTGAAAATAGCTCTCAAATCTTATGCAATTTTGCTCCAATTTATGAAACTTACTGAATCTGCTTCGGATACAAACGCTGACTGAGACGACGCAATGTAAACATATTCGTCTTTTATAGAAACGGTTTATATAGTATAGTTAAGCTATATATAAGGGGTGAATTGCAGTAGTGATTTCGCCGACTTGTGAAAATAAACTGCTGAAAATTAGTCAAGAGCGTAGCTAAAAATAGTTAATATGGACGAAATTCGTGTTCTTCGGGAACAAGGAGTCACTTCATAGAAATATAATTTTAGTTCTTGAAATACAATAAAGGACAGAAATGAAATATTATTTTATATTAACATATATGTATGTATGAATTATATAATTTTTGTTCCGGTCATATTTTCCTTACTACGCCAATGCATCAGCGCTCAACGATTGGCGCCAAAATAAAACGGCTATTTAAATTTGAATTTTGAACCTTTTTTTTTGTATTTCAAACTTTGCAACTAACAATTTTATTGAGCTGTCATTTGAAAAAGTTGAGTGATGATGCGTCTCTCAAGTAACGAGTGAATGACAAGTATTAAAAAACCAATAACTATTTTGTGTTTTTCGTATCTGACGTCCGTTCCAATTCATTGGCAGTGTTATCTACAACTTTAGGGTCTTCTTGGGCACGATCATGTAATATTTTAATATCGTCTGCGGTCTTTGTTGAAGAAACAAAAAATATATTAAAGGAAAAAGTGAGGGCATAACTTCAAACCTCATTTAAGAAAAATGCCTCCTCCAGCACATTCTTGTGCTTGTTCATAAACGATGAGTTGCCAAGAGAGGCGTGGTCAAGTGTCTTCTGAAACTCATCCCAGTTGGGCATGTAGTCCACTTGGTCCTTTTTTTCCCGCATTTTGCACATGAGGTTCTGGGTAAGAGAAATGAAATACTCCTCCTCCTTCAGACCCCCTTGCAACTTTCCGAGTCCACCACCCCATAGAAAAACATTTGGGGGCTTCTTCTCCTCAGAATACAGCTTCTTGGGCATCAAACCGAACCTTCAAAGATTAAAGCTTAGAAAATTTGAAGAAAGTGGTTATATGACGGTACTAACGTTTGAGATAGGCCCAGGCTCAGTCTACGCTGCACAATTCCTGCACAAAACATTTTTGTACTCGAAACTAGGGAATACATACGAAAAGGTTAAAGATTTTTTTAAAAAGGAGTAGACAAAACTTGACTATATCAACGTGAGACTACTAGACTAATCTAGTTTTAGAAATAGTTTGCCATGGTTGCTATCTAGAAATCTTCTTTTTTATTTCGATTTTAATTTTAAAAAACAAGACCCTATGCCATTTTTATATTTGTTAAAGCACAATTGAGTCGTTAAAAAAATTTAAGTATTTATTTAAACTATTTAAAAAAGGCGTAGTCTGGCAGCACTTTTATTTTTTGCCGTTGCCAGCATTACCAGGTCGAATATATCGACGGTCCGGTAGGATTATGAAACACTGGTACTGCCAGATCGATGGTAAACTCGTATACGGTCAGGCAGCCTCTTATGCGCCAGCCAAAAGAAAATGTTCTAAAAACAAAGAGTAAGAAATATATAAAGACTCCTTTTGCTTTAATAAACATATGTTTGTGCCATTTTTAGTGCTAGCGGGCACCATGTGCAAAACAATAGACGTAGTGTTTAGAGTTGCCTAACAAAATCAAAATAGTTACAAAGAGCGGTGCTGACATATAAAATTCCCAATTTCCCAAATTTAACAAATGAAAAACGAGGGAAATTCTTGTTTTTCAACTATGTGGCATCACTAACAAAGTCACTCGAGAGAGCGGTAGAGCAAATGGAGTCTCTATATGTTTCTTACTCTATGGTGAAAGGAAAACGCAGCTTTTCCCATGATTTGTGGCCAAATTGGAAGTGCTAACTGTGCGGGCGAGATTATTATAATGCCGATCGAGTGAGGCCAAGACACTAAACGGGCGGAGCGACTGCGCCGCGATCGCCCCGCTTCAGCAATTGTGTGTGTGTATCATGGACAAGCTACGAAACAACAACAAGGAGAATGCACCCATTGAGTACCCCTACCCACAGACCCCCCCGCTGGAAGCTGGCGAGGATGTGGAAAGCAACAAAAGCACGCCCTACTTCACCCCCCTGGAGTTCCTGCAAACGTCCTTTGAGTTCCCTTCGCCTACTGCGGAGGGTGGGGTCACGGTCATTACCGAGCAGGAGGATCAGGAGGAGGAGGTCTTCACCCCTAGACAGTTCACTGTTGCCAGTCCCCATCCAGCGCCTCATGTTCACCATCCACCTAGCTCGCAGTCCCCCACTTTAAACCGCAAATTTAAGAGGTTCTCGCTTTATGACCGTCGATCCTGCTCGCCGCACATCACCAGCTCCGCCAACGAAGAGCGTGGAAGTGTGCGTGGTACAGACAAGGAAAACACCATGCCCAAGGGCGGATCGGACGACCACGAGCTGGAGAACACCTTGTACTTGTCAAAGAGCGAGCACAACTCACCCACAATCTTATTTAAAGATGAGTCGTCCTCGACCCCGGGTCTGGAAGCCAGTCGCCTAAGCTACTCCCCAAAACTTCTGTCCTCCATCAACAACCTGAACGTTTCCGGATCGCCCTTGAACATCATCAACTCGGCTGGCTACAAGAATGGCAATTTTTTTCGTTTTCCCGAGATTGATCATGTCGTGCAGGTCGCACCAGTGGATACGGGTTGTCCTGAAGAGCCTCCCCGTCGGGATAGAAGCCCCGCGTTGTCGGAACCGCCGGAGCACCAGCAGCAGAAATCGGAGGGACGAAAGAACCGCAAGAATAAAAATAATCTCACTATTCGCATCACGGATGTGCCCATTAAGAACTCGAGCCAGGCCTCACCGTTGCCCAAACCGAAGACTCCCACCATCAAGAGCACCAAGGAAAAGGCACGATCGCTTGACTCGGCAGCTAATGAGTCGGAACTGTCGATCGTGGTGCACAACATAACCGAATCTCATGGTAGCTGCGATGACATGGAATCAGGGCAGATCAAGCCATCGACGAGTATCATTCACCACCTCCATCTCCAACAGCCCGCCTTTGCAATCCACTCAACGTCGCTTTCGCGCACGCCGCGCAGAAAGTCACCGGGCATCAACACCACTGATTGGCTGATGTACCACCGCAAGCAAAACCCATATCAGGTGCCATCGCCGCACTGCAGTTCCACGGCACAAAGCTCACTGGACTCGGACGCCAGTTTAACGCCTAGTTTAGGTGACTCCGAACTGAAGTCAGCCTGCAGCGTAGACGGTGGTTCTAAATTTGGAATGGGCGCTAGCCTTGCTCCAAGAAGCGCCCACAAGCATAATCAGCTTCTGCACTCGTCCAGCACCAACCTGAAAACGCTGCCCGAGTGCCTCACCCTGGTCGAGTTCTCATCTGGCGGTGGTCCCAAAGAATCACCCTTCAAGCAGAAGTCCATGGATCTGCCGATGCCTGCGCTGCAGGCTAAGGCAACGGTATCCACATCATCAATGAATCTTCTTCAGCGGCGTGGTTCCAATCACAGTTTAACGCTCAACCTACACAGTTCATGCGGAAACTTGATGAATAGCGGACTAAGCCATTCCAACTATAGTCTGGGCTCAATACTCAACTCCAAGTCCAGTTGCAATTTAGATGCGAGCACTAGCAACCAAGTCAGGTCGGATCAACAGCCACAGACTCTTCTGCTAGCCAGTAGCCAGGGCAGCCGACAGGGGTTGTTTAGGAGAAGAGGTTCGAACCACAGCATCACCCTAAAGACGGGACACACCACCACCTCGTGCGGGGATTTGAACTCCATGCACCAGCTCCAACAGCAGCAGGCAATGCTGAGTGCGGAAAAGTACAACAGACTTAACATGCGCACCAATTCCACCGGTTCGGGATCGGGTTCGGGATCAAATGTACCTACTCCAAAGCGAGGACTATTGGAACGCCGAGGCTCCAATCAAAGTCTGACTCTCAACATGGGCAACATTCTGGGAGGAGGAGTAAATACTGAAATACAAGTCCAGGACATGGGGCAACCAAAAGTCACGGTTTGCAGTTGTGCTGCCACCAACCAAGCTTCGCATCAGCGCAAATTCTTCAGCACCGAAAATCTAAACAGCAGCAAGGTCAACAACCAAAAGTTCTTCGGACAGGTGTGTTTTGGATCTGCTTCGGACTTGCAACCCAATCCTCAACAGGAATCCGCTAGTTCCGATCAAGGAATTGTAACCACTTGTACCTGTGCTGGAACAGTGCGCAACATCATGACAAGACCCCTGTCGCCGCAGACAACCAGCGAGGAGTTCAAAATTTACCTGGCCAGCATACAGATGCTGCAGAGCGCTTCCAACCCGCTTAACCAGTTCGATTTGATTCGGCTGAACTACGTATTTGATCACAGCTACCAGACGAACAGAAACGTCATCGAGCAGCCGCCAGGACTGGGTGCCAATGCAAGAGACTTGGACACGCCCACTGATTTGGTGCCACCAAGCTCAGAGGATAGTGAATTGCTCGCCTGTTATCATACTGTTGTCAAGAGGATCGTGCAATCGATACCAGAACTGGAGGAAACCGAGCAAAAGCGCATCTTTCGGGATTTGCACAAAGAATTCTGGGACCTGCCACTCAATCACCAGGAAAAGCCCATGGTGTTTGGCTCGCAAACGAAGAATCGCTACAAAACGATCCTGCCCAACGAGCACTCCCGTGTGCTGCTCGAAACCGAGTCAAGTGAGCTGATTAGCCTGCAGGAGGAAGTGAAGCGGACCGGATCAATGACCGCCAGCGAGGACGTGCCCTACATCAATGCCAATTACATAAAGGTTAGAAATATAAACTATTTTTTGTAGGAATCAAACTTTTTCAAATAAGAAATCTAATTTATTTTTTAGGGACCCGACTACGTGTCCAAGTGCTATGTGGCCACGCAGGGTCCGTTGCCCAATACTGTTTTCGAGTTCTGGTTGATGATCTACCAAAACACCCAGCGCTATATAAGGCGTTGCGTAGATGGAGGGAGCAGCAGTAGTCCGCACATGGACCGGGCGCAGATCCTACAGCAGTACTTTCAAAAGATTGTCATGCTCACCAACTTCACGGAGGCAAATCGACAGAAGTGCGCTGTCTATTTTCCCATCGATCTGAATGAGATCTTTGCGGTGGCCGCCAAGTGCGAGGTATTTCAGCTGAGTTCGGCAGCCCGGGACTACTTTAATCGTTATTTGACGCCAACCTTTGTGCCGGACACTATGGTGGCTTCCTCGGAGGCGATCGACTATGAGCTATGTGGCCGGCACATTGGCGTGGAGTCGGTGAAGGTGACTCTGGAAGGTGATCTGCTGGAGGCTCTGCCCGTCCAAGGAAGCTTCTTTTTAATCAAGAACGTCGGCATTGTGCGAAGGAATGGTTACTCGGTGAGGAAGCTTGTCCTGCTTTATTGCATCCGTGTGCCGCAGAGTACTAGCTACTATCTGCAAAAGATCTTCTGCTATCACTACTGGTATCCGGACTGGCCGGATCACCATTCGCCACGGGACATTAACACATTGCTGGACACCTGCTTGCATGTTCTTAACCTGGGAAAGTGCGAGTCTGAGTTTGACAACTACGATGAATGTAGAAGTGAGAGGAATGCCCACTTGGGGGCTCAGCGACTAGAGATTTACCAGCAGGACATCTTCAATGCTGTCCAGCCGCTTCCCGTGATTCATTGCTCGGCTGGGATCGGGCGTACTGGCTGTTTCACGGCCATTCTGAATGCGGTGCGTCAGTTGCGCCAATCGTTGGCTTACTCGCTAACAGGAATGCTCACCAAAACGCTGACCAGCAGCATGGCGGAAGAATACCAGTGCCCAACGGACAGCGACAGCAGCTTTACCTGCAACACCATCCGGCATATCAGGCACATTCTGGATCTCCAGGAGTCTGAGGCGGTTGAGACGCCTCCATCATTCGACCGCCTGCCCAAGATGCCGGACATTTTCGTGGACGTGCTGGGCATAGTTTGTAATCTTCGCCTGCAGCGGGGTGGCATGGTTCAGAACTCGGAACAATATGAGCTAATTCATAGGGCCATCTGCCTCTACTTGAAACGCACACTGGCGTTGAGGCGATTTTAAAGTCGGGAAACATAGATCAACAGCTTTTTAACGACGACCTGAAGGAGAAAAAGAACAAAACACCAATTTACTATTTCTAATCACATTTTTTGTGGCCCTTATTTTAATGAAAACAACCACAACGGACAAGCAACAAGCAAATCAAGAAACCATGGCTAAAAGAGTCTCGAAAAGTTAAATAAGATGGCAATCTCCGAGATGCCCTCGATGTTTGCTAAATATTACTATTACCACATATTCTATATATATAAATGTTTATTAAGTGTTGGATGTATGTGTGTTAAATGTGTACATAAGTGTAAATGTTTCCGACTTTTGGTGTGAACTATGCTTAAACTAAAGTTAATTAACAATTATTATACCTTACCTTACCAAACCATACCTTACCAATAATGAAGCGCATCTACGCTGGGCTCGAGACGTTCGGCCGCGTCCCTCGGTGAGTTGTGCATCCTGTTTGGGATCGGGGAAAGCTCAAACCTTTTTCAAGTCGGGCCCCTCCAAGGGTCCTTCTGACTAAAACACCAATTTTCCCATTCCCAAACTGCCAGCTCGACCGCTGGACGTTGGCCCAATCACGGACAAGAGTTCATTAAAAACACAAGAGAAAAACTCGAAAAGAAAAATGGGAACCCATAAATGAACTTGTATTAACGTTTATGCAATGGAACTAGTCAAATAAAAATTAGAAACATTTTAAATGTAACTTTAATGTGTAAAATAGACGGCGTTATTTTAATGGTCTATGCGGTAGATTGGAAAATATGGTGGGGAACTATAAGGCTCTCTGTGTTTTATTTAGTGCAGTTTTTAATAATAATAATTCAGACCTATTTACATAAGTTTGATTTTTTCAATTCTGATATTTCTCTACTTTTTTACCACTAGGGCATTAATCTATTTAATAATAATTAGAGCGGAAAATAAAATAAGAGATCTAAATAATATTCTAATCATCATTTTTATAGAACCTATAATTTATTAAAATTTTTAAATTAAGGAACAATAGGCTTAAATTCAATTTTAAGTGTCAAATAATAATAAATTTATTTTAGTGTTATTTAGTTAAATTTTTTGTTTGTTTTGATTTATAATTTCGGTGCCGAAAAGCACCTGCAGACCAGCGAAGGGTTAAGCTGCCGAACAGCTGATTCTGCGTGCAAAGTTCAGTGTTTGGATTTGTGATTGGCGAATAATTGCGGGTGATTAGATATAAGAAATCTCGTCGGCGAGGAACCACTAATTCGGCCATGCTTCGCTTAGGAGGAAGATTAATTTTTACCAGGTTCCATAGCAGCATGAAGGTATGCCGCCATAATCCCAATAACAAGATAAAAATGAGAGTTTTTCAGGTGAAAGTGCCAGTAAAACAAGGCGTTGTGGTTGGTCAACAGAAAAAACTGTCCAATGGATTGGAGTTTAATAGTTTCCTTGGTGTTCCCTATGCGGAACCTCCCGTGGGAGAACTTCGTTTTCGGGTGAGTTGAAAGCGATTATTAAGATGCCCTTGCCATCCAGATCCTAAAATTCCAATCCAGAGCCCCCGGCCCCTGGAACGTTTTCAAGTACACGAACTAGATTGCAGCAAAGAGGGAAGCATATCCCATCAGCGAGATCCCTTCACGTTGGAGGTGGCTGGAGCCGAGAACTGCCTATTCCTTAATGTATATGCACCAAAAGTCAAAAACCCGGAGTCCCGGCTACCCGTTATGGTTTGGATTCATGGCGGTGGCTTTTTCTTCGGCAACGGCAACAGCGACTTGTAGAATTCCAAAAATATTTTTAGATTTCCTTATCTAATTTTATGCCCTCCCTTTCAGCCACTTCCCCGGCAAGCTCATGGAGCAGGAGGTCATTGTGGTCACACTTAACTACCGACTTGGAGCCCTGGGTTTCCTTAGTTTGCCCGAGGAGGGAATACATGGGAACATGGGGCTTAAGGATCAGCGTTTGGCACTTCAGTGGGTGCAGGAGAACATAGCCAGCTTCAATGGGGATCCTAAGAATGTTACTTTATTCGGCGAGAGTGCAGGCGGCGCTTCAGTGCATCTACACACCTATGCCCGTCATGCCAATCGTCTGTTCCACAAGGCAATTATGCAGAGCGGTACGGGCAACATGGAGTGGGTGTTCCAGAACGAGGCTGCTGTCAAGACCCGACGTCTGGCGGAGCTACTGGGAGGCGGCGATTTCGGTGGGGACACCAAAGCACTGTTGGCCTTCCTGCAGTCGGAGAAGGCAACTCCCTCAAGCATTTTGGCCAACACATTGAAGGTCTTAACGCCCGATGAGCGGCGACGCCACCTGCCATTTGCATTCAAGCCTGTTGTGGAGGATAGCAGCAGTCCGGACAGTTTCCTTGACCAGAATATCGTAGAGCTAATGTACAAAAAAGACTCACTCGGTGGAATGCCAGTGATCATGGGTTACAACTCTGGCGAAGGACTGGCCATGGTGGTGAAGGCCAAGCAGAAGCTGGAAGCCTACGAAGATGATTTAGCCAGGATGGTGCCTCGCAATCTAGTGCTAGATCCCCAGGCCACAGAAGCGCAGGAAGCTGCTTCCGATATTAGAGCCTTCTTTTTTAATGGCCAGGCGCTGACCAAGGAGAACTTGGACAACTTGGTTGATCTGTTTACAGATTACCACTTCAACATGGATCTGCAGCACGCAGCGGAGATCCACGCCAGTTGCCAGACTAAGTCTCCGTTGTATTTCTATCGATTGGACTACGTCGGCGGTCGCAATCTATACAAGAAAATCTTCCAGAACGAGGATTTGCGTGGAGTGGCTCATGCCGATGACATTTGCTATCTGTTCCAGATGGCGGGAGACGACACCGAGATGAGGAAGGATGATTTGCTGGTCACGGAACGACTTTGCAAAATGTGGGCGAATTTCGCTCGCGATGGGAAACCATCAGAAAGTTGGACAGCGGTCCAGAAACCCGAGAGTGGCCAGCCCTTTAAGCTGGACTGCCTACTAATTGATCGGGAACCGAAGATGTGCGCGAATCCAGATAGTGAAAGGATGGACTTTTGGCGCAGCATGTACAGAAGATATAGAAGCAAGTGCTACGAAGCTCTAAGAGCTAAGCTCTAACTCATAGTTACTAAGAACAAAATGTAAGCAGTTTCAAATATCAGTCTTTGTCAAAAATTTAAATAATTGAAAAACCAGTTTAAAAAAAAAATAGTTTTATACAGATATATATATATATATACCTCTAAGTTATAACTTGAATTATGAGTCAAACTGATTCGGAAACTCTTTCATAAGGGAAGCTTGAATTTGGATAACATAATTATTTGTAAATCTTATTTTCTATTACCAGATGAAAAACGAGGCTGTCTTTGGATAAGCCCTTTCGCATATGTACCGTCTAGTTTTTTCGCAGGATAGGTCATTTAGTCTTACTTGGTAGCCCATCTCGTCACAATGCTCGTTGCCATTCACATTATTGGGTTCTCCCGGATACCAAATATTTAGCGCTATTGGCGTACCAATCGAGAACCATATATGCTTTCCTTGGTGCGCTAAGTCCGAACCCTGATGTCCAATATACATTTTGTATCTTGTTCTCGAACAGATACTGATTTATCAGATCCCACTCCTCTATGGTTTCAAAAGCTATGAGATGAGCACCAATCCGATGGCAAGATTCGGATGCATCAAACCAGTTCTTTTGGGCACTGGTTTCAATGTAATAATAGCTATTGCCGATCCTTATGAATGGTTCCGTCTTCAAATTCAGATGATTTGGTATTCCTGAATATAACTTTATTAAATTAAAAAGGCAAACTTGTGTTTTATTAGTTTATATGATTACCATCCTCGACCACCGGATTTACTTGATAAGCTGCAGCTAAGGCAAATAAGCCAATTGCAGCGGAGAGTACTGGATATTTAATGCCCATTTTGTCAATCACTGAGTTAAAAAACGCTCAACTGAGGTGTTTTATAGCCCCGATCTGCGCAGTTATTAAAGATTATTCGTATTTTGTGTACATTTTTATTTATTGGTCTTTAATAATTTCTCCATGTATTGATTAACAAATAGAACCTTAATTATTTGGTTAAATAAATATGCTTGCTCACATACACATTTATTCGTTAGGTACTTATAAAAAAGGTTTAAGTCTGCATAAAAATTTACACATTTTAAAAATTGAACGACAAAGAATAAAAAATATTTATATTTACACAGAGTATTTTAATATATGTTATTTCCATTTGTATACCAGTTACAAGCGCCTTAAATTGGGAACTTTTTTTGGTGTGAGTCTTTGATACGCACTATTTCATTTTACAACACTCCAATTGTATTTATTTAAAAAGGTCTTTGATCTTACTGATGATGCCACTGATGGTGCAGCCAGATAGGGGAATTATGATAATTTAACGTGAATTTCAACAGGAAGAAAGTTTTTTGACGTATATATTCATAATTCTTCTGTAAAATGATTAAGGAGCAATAGAACATATTTATTAGGGGTTAGGGTAATACTGTTTTTATTTAGTATGTTTTCAGGGCTGGTCGTCTGCAGTGAAGGAGAAAGTGTTTTACCATCTGGCAACACTGCTCTAATAAAATAAACAACTCTTTATTTTATTTAATTGCAATTAATGCAAATGCAGGGAATCTAGCTAGAAATTCGCGTCGGAACCACACGCATACACGCAGGTCGTGGGGACCCAAACAAGTTGAGTGTCAACATGTTAGGCAAATGCATCTATTTTTTAGCCTTTGGCTTGGCTTTTTGCAATGCCTACAAAAACGGTAAGTGTTCTAGACCACTTCATCGAAAAAGAATTAATTTGGTTTGTTCATTGCTCAGTTCGTCTACAGGACAATATGTGCTCGGATAAGCTATTCTACACATTGGCCAAGCCGTTTCGTGGCGATCCCACGGTGCGTCTGGAGTTCGAGGACACCTCCGGAGCAATAGTGACCCAGACATGGAATTTGACACTGCCCCACGGCCATACGGCCAATAAGATCAAGTACGACTGCCAGTTTCGGGTGCTGACCAGCGAGCGACCACCGCGCGGCATCTACACTATCATCACGCGGCTTAAGTTTCGGCGTGACCCTGTTTCCAAGGAGTGCATCGACTACATCCAGTTTAGTAGTGGCAATCGCTCGCCCAGTGAGCGAATTTGCACAGACATCTCCATTGATGGGCCGGCTGGACGTCTGATCTTTGACCAGCGCGACCGCGAGGTTAACGTGCATATCTTCATCGATCGATCGCGTCATATACTGGGTGATCCGCTGGAGCTGCGCATGGTTCTGACGGCGCACTCGGAGTGCCAGTTTAATGGAGACTTCCTCTGCGACGCAAGCGACCAGTACTCGTGCATTTCGCGACACTTTGTGCGGGACAACATCACCAACTGCCTGTATCCGTGTCGTGACGAGGGCACCTGTTTCCACGACGCTATCGCGTCAGAAGAGGTCGACACGGCCAATGTAGCCATCTCTGCTTTGACATCGTTGATCTTCACCATGCTGGGCGTGGGCTTCTGTGTGTGGATTTGCTGGAAGTACTGGAACTGCATAACAGTGCAGCAGAGGGCGCACGAAGCTTCAGCTGCACGCTTCAACCAGCGACGAGTCAGAGTAAGTATAGACTGTTCCAGTCACTGCCTAGATTCACAGCTGATTTCAACTCCATTCCTAGTCGGATGTTCCCACCATTGAGCTGCCACCAACGGTCCAGTACGATGATAGCGTCCTGCATGAGCACGATACCCATCAGCAGCCAGCTACGCCCAAGGATCTGCCGCCCAGTTATGAGTCCCTGTTCCCGGAAAGATAAAGATCAACGGCTGGAGTCACTCCGCTTTGTGCCAGATCAGCAAGTACTTGGTACCGCACTCTTGTTGTATTAGTCCTATTAGGTAATTGTGTCTCTATCTGAGCAGATCAGCATTCCATGTAAATATGTTAGGACTGATTTTATGTTTTTTGATTAGCATTAGCGATCAAGCATCACCTTTGTCGATGTGTTCACTTCGAACAAAATCCGATAATACTCCTCTGAGAATTCCTACTGTATTACTGATGTATATATTTAAGTTTTGTGTTCATGAACTCTCTGTTTTATTTTAATATTTGTAACTGTTGAAAACGCCTTTTGGCGATGCAAATTGTTTACTCACTGATGAAATCTCACTGGTATTACTGTACTCTATGAAATTATATCAATTATTTACCTAGGCAGCAATTATTTATAAGCAAAAGCAAAAGCCACACATTACTAGTCTCTGCATTAGCTAGCGTAAATATTCCAAGGGCCAGCCAGGACTTGGTCTAACATTCCACATAGTTGTACCTGTTTCTGTACTGCATAGATATATGTTATGTATTTGTACGCATAGAATACCACGCGCTTGTAGATGTCTTTGTTGTGTGCTGGCCGAAAGTGTCAATTGTTCAATCCAGAGTATAATATGTAGGCACACACGCTCACGAGATTATGTACGAACTACAGTATTTACTCCAAACATGTAACTGCAATGTAACTGAAAGGTCGGAGTGGTGGTCAGTAGGTTTTAAGCCAATTTACTCATATGTATACACACGCAACTCACTCAAATACGTATATTAACTAATAAATAAACCAACTAAATCTCAGCAGAGCGTAGCGAAAGTGCGGCCGGGAATCACCTCACCCTCCGCTGATCATACTCAGTTTGGGTGTTTGGGTTTCATCACATGGTGACACACATTGTGAATCAGCACGTGCCTTATCCAATAACCAATAACCTGTTGGACAGGCATCCTCAACTCATCTCCTCTGAAATCGACTGTTGGTCACGACTGGAGGAAAGGTGGTGCTGTTACTGCGTCATCCGTGGGCTAATCAATTGCTAGTCTGGCTTTGTCACTGACTTAGATTTTCCTTTGTTACCAATAGATGGATCGTGGCAGATGAGGCACGTGCTGGGGTCGCCTGGTCGTTGACTCGTCACAATTAACCAAACTGGTTATTGCCATCGTATCTGCGAGACAATTTGCCGGCCAATCTGTGCCCCCGTTCAATGTCGGCCCACAATTGTCCAATTGCCTTGGAGTCGCAGTATGCGAATCAATTAGCGAATATGCAGCCCTCTTGGCAACCGGTAGCTGGTCCTCGGCTATATCTCTATATATAACGCCCAGGTGCCAATTATAACACGCACACAAAAGAGCCATACGATCGATCGATCGATCGATCTATTCATCAAGTTCAGGGTCAATTTCAGACCACTCTGCCGCTCGTAGTTTGGTCACAATCAGCACTTGGCCTTAATTCGTGTCAAGCACCCAGATAAGGAGTTTGTCCAGTAAACCAGACATCCATCAGTCGATTACCTCTGGGGGATCCTAGAAATTTCACTCGATCTTCTTCTGACGCTTTGATATTCCCAAATCACGAAATTCGCACAGCGAATTAGCACCTCGGAGTGGGGCGTGTAGGTGTGAGTTCACGCCCAAAAATAAGGCTAAGCAGGCCGACTTCTTGGAGCCACTTTCGTAGTGGAGCTGCCTCCCCGAAAATATATTTTTAAAACCAACGGTAACGACAGACCCTTCAGAATAAGGTGTGGCTTAAACTTAAGCGAGCATTTAAGATATACCCAGAGCACATTGAAGTGTGTTCAATAAAAATGTAGCACCAACATCGCTTATAAATTCTTTATTTTTCTTATCACTTATCTGCTATCTTCTACATATTGTCATGGCTTTATCACATTGCTAAATTAAAGTTCTAAATGATATTTTTGCATAAACTGCGCAGCAAGAAAGATGGTTATTTTGGATCTGGCAAGATCAATATTTAATAACTTCTATTGATATACTCGTATAGTCAAACATCAACATATATATATGAAACTATATTTCATTTATGATGAACTTTGTGATAAGATAAAGAATTCCCCCCTTGAAGCTATTTTTATATGAAATAAAGAAAATTCTGTTCTTTTTGCTAAGCTTCTGTAACCACCCGGAAATCCCCTACTATAAAAATTCTTTTTTTTGCATATTAATAATAGTATTTAATTTCGTATTCATAATATGATTCAGTATAAGAAGCAGCTAATTTTTGTGGGCGTTTGTAAAAAAAACTATCGAAGCCACAGGACCAGAACCGAACCCACTTCCAATCATTCATTGGTTTGCGGTGGTTATTGTGGCTATGGTGGCACCTCCGCCTCTACAGCGTTTTGTTTGATGTTTTGGCCAACAATTAGATACGTTGCTCTAACCAGTCCCGCCAACCAAACGCTGGAGTTACTTTCTCGCCCGGCGGAGAGCGCGTGACTCATACGCACGGGGGCCACACAAAGACGCTGGCAGAAACGAAACCACAACCAGAAAGAGC